GACATTTGTCACATGTATGACATTTATAAACATGTGATTTCAATGGCTTTGTGAAGTTTCTGAGATGATGCTGTTGTGATTTAGGGAAATACAAGAATAAGTTGTTGTTTTTGTGTCAGTGTGATACATCTACAGATAAGTGTGTGTGTGTGTGTGTGTGTGTGTGTGTGTGTGTGTGTGTGTGAGAGAGAGTGTGTTACAGACGGGTGATTGAGTGTCTTCTGCAGTTGGCAGTTATCAGCAGATTGACCAATCAGAGAGCAGCGTGAGACTCCTGTGGCTTTGGATCTTAAAGCTGCACTAACTGACTTTGGGATTTTGAAGCCGCAGACTCGCTGGCCTCGCTCTTTCTCCTCCCCTCCCCGCACCCACGAAGCTATCGCCCCCCACACACACCCACTGTTGTTGACGGAGCTAGCGTCTCCCAATATGGATAATACATGGATATGGATTTGCACGTGGATGGCGTGACCATAGAACGATAGAACCAGGAAGTGCGGAGGAACGGGACTTTCTTTTGGATGGCTGTTTCGCTGTGTAAGCAGTAACCGGTGACGAAGACGAGGAAGCTTCAGGTTCGCTCCGCCGCTTGTTGTGCTAACTCAGCCGTCTATGCTAACAGACCTGTAGATTTCTCACGAGAGTGGGGGCCAGTGGTGCGCTGTGATTGGTCACAATCTGCGACCCGAAACACATTCTCTTCCTTGTTTCATCAAAACTCGATCTAAAATATAATGTCACGCCAGCACAAATCTGAGCTACTTTTTCTTCTAAAGGACGTATATCCCAATGCACTGCATGGACATGGATAGACTTTTTGTAATGAATAAAAAAATAAAGTCAGTTAGTGCAGCTTTAACCTTTATCATAATAATATTCACACACAGGGTCTAACTCCAGCAGGTGGATTGCAACAGGTTCTACACAGTCGTCTCAAAGGACTTCACAAAGTTGTGGATTCACCAACAACAGATTAGAAAATCAAACTGTTCAAAATCAGGAAATAGAATAATAACAAACACAATACATTGGTTCAAAGGAGCAATACTGTCCTCATCAGAGGAACACACACACAGACACATACACGTTTTTGTTAACTGGTGGGTCCCTTTGACAGGGCCGTTCAGAATGGGACCCATAGACATAATCTTTTTTTACTGGGACTACTTTAAGTAATACAAAACAGTCAATAGAAAACAAACAACTCTTTTAAAGGAATTTTATTTTTGATTTTTTTTTCGAATTGCAGTGATTCTATTTTTGACATAGAATTTAATGCCACTCCATGTCCGATGTCTAAGGTCATCTGGTGAGGCATTAATGCAGGCCAGGCAGTGAGACTTCCCAGGGACCTTTCCAGTCTGTATGAAAGGTGTCATGGTCTTCTCCACAGCCTTCACCTCAGATGCAGACCATGGCTTTCTTACACGTTCTAGGGAGAGAAATAAAAATATATTAGCAATATACACTCCCAGGGTTAGGACCAAGCAGCCTGGCTGTAATCCCCCACCTGGTACACTTACCAGAAGGGGCACTGCCACTACCATGGGGTGCATCTGGATGAATGGTTGAAGGTTCTCCGCTTGAAGTTTCTTTTAGCCCGTCCGTTTGTGAGAGGATCTCTACTGCTCTCCCTGTCGCACAGAAAATAAAAATACAAGTGGCCTTTAGGGGAAAAAAATTATACATATTTTAATAATATCAAGAATTACCTTCAGGCTCAATTTGTATCTGGTCGAGGCCCTTTCCTTCGAATTCCGTCACTCTTCCCTGCTCCATGGCCATTAACACTTTGCTGATTTTGGCCAGCTCCAGTGTCCCCTCTGGTAGTCTGTAATATTGTCTGTGGATGCGAATGTCATGGCCGAGGAAGTTGGCAAGTATGTCCATCTCATTCTCTTTCATATTGAGAACTGTAGACATAGTAGCTATGTGCTTTCTAAGTTTGGTTGAGGATAGCATCTCTGGATGCACCGCACCACATTCTTTGGCTACCTGGCGTAGGGAGTCTGATCCCCTGATGTGGGTGTCTGCGCCCGGGCGGGAGAAGAAGTATGGGTTATGGTCAGAGATGGAACAGGCCCTTCTGTTCTCCACCAGCACCTCCATCCAAGCAATCATTTCAGGAGTCAAAAGAACCGGCACTTTCCGACTTCTTTTCCCTTTAATTTCAATGCGTTGAAAATGCTGACACAGCTTTTTCTCAAGTTGGGACAGTCCCAGAGCAATGTCAGAATGGATCCCAGTCTTACTTCTTAAGGTAAAGGCTGTCAGTGGCATCTTTGAAACCTCACCTTCCCTTCTTCGATTGAAAATAATGACCTCACAAAGAGTCAAAACTGCCAGTTTAGACCAATGCTTAGACGTTGGCTCACTTATTAGGGTTTGCACATATTCAGGTCGACATACCTCAATATGTGCATGCATGGCTCTAACGTCCTCAGTCAGAGGGAGCAGGTCCGGAGTGTTCCACTTGGCTTGCCGGAGGGTCTGTAGGGCAGCAGAAGAAACACAGACGTCCCACCTCTTCTCAAAAAGCAGCCGGCTTCTTTGGAGGTTTTTAATAAATAGTTCATCAACACAATGCTCCATTTTTGAGTCACATTCAAGAATATCTGCTAGCTTTCTGAGGCTATGGCCGAGTTTGAGGGCCAAGGATGGAGTCTTGTATTGATTTGTTTCCTCATCATATCCAGCCACAGACCTGACTGCATCAATCACATGGTTAAAGTTGGAAGGAATAAAGAAATCCTTCATTGTTTTCAGTTTCCCTGCAGTTTTTGCTTCGTTAATTAACCTACCGACTTCTCTCATTTTCTGCCTAATGTAATCATGCTTAGTCTTATCATGCCCGTGTTTTAAGTACAGGTGCTCTCCGAGTCTCAGAATCCCCTTTTCTGCTTTGACAACACCCGTGACCTCATCCTGATGCATTGCCGAAATTAAAGAGCACAGCTTTTTGCTGATGCCCTCCGGTACAGGCTGGGCTAGGGAGCAGAGGGACTGGACCCTACTTCTACCTGGTTTAGCCTGGTTTAGCCTGGGCATCTTTCTGTGAAAGCCGGCACCTGGCCACATGCCTCCACAGCGACTTTCGCTTAAGCAATGCCCCACAGTCTATACAGTGCAAAAACTCACTGGATTTAACTGGGCAATTTGGCTGTTTAGCTGGGACTAAAGTTCCAATGCCGGCCTTTAAAACCTCAACATTGTGCTCACGGTTTCCACTATTCCTGATCAAATCAAAGGGAAGTTTACGTGCTTTAGATTTCACAGGTAGAGCCAATGCTCTGGCTACGTCACTTTCATTTCCATGTTTTCTAGTCAAATGACGGGACATTTTGTGGCAGGACATTGAACAGTAGAGGCAGAAGTGTCTCTTGCTATAAACTCGCCCCCCATTTTTCTTCTTTTGCAGCTGCATGATAACAATCTTATTTGCCTTTGGTTCGTCACTTTCCGAGTCTTGAAGAAAAGTGTTTTTGATTTTTCTTTTTCCATACTTTTTTCCAGGTTTCTTCTTGACAGTTAAATCGTCAGAATCTGAGTCGACTTCATCAATTAGGGACTCTTGACTAAGCTGCACAAACAACAAATAATTTGTAATCATTCTATATAACAATTTGAAGTCATGACTTGTAGTCAGCACTTACCAGTGGTTTGTAAGCGTGCGCTTCAGTGTGCTGCTCTGTGATTGGCTGCAGCCTAATGAACCACACACTTGCACCTTTTTCTAGCCTGACACCTGATTTCCTCTGTTGTGCTGCTCCATGATTGGCTCCAGCCTGCTGGACTGAAATTGCCCCAGTGTGCCCCTCCTTGATATCCCGCAACCCACCACCAGGGTTCCGACACATAACACACTTTTTTCAGGAAAGTAAACCTCCAGGGGTCCTTTCCATATTTTTACAGAGACTGCATAAGGACCGTTAGAAAAGCATTACCCATTGATTATTAAGCTTGGACCAGTGGGGTCCGGTGTTCGGGCCCCACCACGTAAAACCAGTCCCCATGACGTGAGTGGAATCTCAGGTTATGGAACCCACCAGTAGTTGAAAACAAGTGCACACACACACTGACAGACACACACAGGGCACACACACACACACTGGACACACACACAGACACACACACACACTGACAGACACACACACACACACACACACACACTCACAGACACACACACACAGACAGGACACACACAGAGACAGGACATACACACACACACACATGCAGGACACACACACACACACACACAGGACAGACACACGTGGCCTCAGTGTGGGCGTGGCCTCTGTGTGGGTGTGGTCTGCTGTGAGCCCAAGAGCTGCAGCTGGTGCAGTATTTCAATGAAGTTTTTTATAGACGCCTAAAAACAGACACAACTCAGGTGTCACAAAGCTCCACACACACTCTCCTCCCCCCTCCTCCCCCTTCCTCCCCCCTCCTGTCGAAGAGGAACAGGTTTAGGTTAATCATCTTTCACAAGACAAGACCCTTTCTGTCAGTAGTTATGTGCTGCTCTTCGGGCTAACAGCTAATTACAGACTCAACTCAATTGCATTTATATGTGCATTAACCTGAAACCCTGAGCCTGTAGACCCAGGACTGAGGCTGTAGACCCAGGACTGAGGCTGTAGACCCAGGACTGAGGCTGTAGACCCAGGACTGAGGCTGTAGACCCAGGACTGAGGCTGTAGACCCAGGACTGAGGCTGTAGTCCCAGGACTGAGGCTGTAGACCCAGGACTGAGGCTGTAGACCCAGGACTGAGGCTGTAGACCCAGGACTGAGGCTGTAGACCCAGGACTGAGGCTGTAGACCCAGGACTGAGGCTGTAGACCCAGGACTGAGGCTGTAGACCCAAGGCTGATCTTGGAGACCTGGGGCTTGGTTCTGATGTGCCCCAGCTTTACAGGTCTTCTTACATCTGGTTTGTTTTCCAGGTCTTGACTGTGACCCCCTGTGGCCGTGGTGACCTGACCCCCTGTTGCCGTGGTGATGGATGTGTTTGGGGGCGCCCCGCGGTTCCTGGCGTACCCGCGGCCCGTGCTGGTGCAGAGCGGGGCTGACGCGGTCCTCAAGTGTCAGATCGGAGGCGACCCAAGACCTGCTGTGATCTGGGAGCGCAACAACGACACCATCAAGGTTCCTACACATCCGGCTGTTTACATAATCCATGACTATTATGGCCCCTGGAAGAGCCATGTTCCAGCTTCTTCTCTCTGACAGAACATATTGTTGTCTGACAGCTGACAGCGTCTTTACACAAGCTGCTATCAGTCTGAACAAGGCACTAGATCTCTCTCTGGTCTCTCTCTGGTCTCCCTCTTTCTCTGGTCTCTCTCTGGTCTCTCTCTGGTCTCTCTCATGTCTCTCTCTGGTCTCTCTCTGGTCTCTCTCTGGTCTCTCTCATGTCTCTCTCTGGTCTCTCTCTGTGTCTCTCTCTGTGTCTCTCTCTGTGTCTCTCTCTGGTCTCTCTCTGGTCTCTCTCTGGTCTCTCTCTGATCTCTCTCTGGTCTCTCTCTGGTCTCTCTCTGGTCTCTCTCTGGTCTCTCTCTGGTCTCTCTCTGGTCTCTCTCTGGTGAATGAATGGTTTCTCACTCTTTAACATGTTTCTAATGTGGTTTTACTGTAAATAGCAAACCAAACTGAATGTGATCTGATCCAGGCGCGGGGTCGGTACCGTGTGTTCGAGGACGGTAACGTGTACAACCTGATCATCGCCGCGGTGACGGTGGAGGACAGCGGGCAGTACATCTGTAAAGCCAAGAACAGCATCGGAGAGACGTACGCCGCCGCCACCCTCAAGGTGGAGGGGGAGGCGCAGGAGCAGGAGCTGAGGGAAGAGAACAAGCCTCGCTTCCTCATCAAACCACTGTCCACCAGAGCAGGGAGAGGGGAGGACGCTGTGTTCTCCTGCAAGGTCTGAGACCAGAGGGAGACCAGAGGGAGACCAGAGGGAGACCAGAGGGAGACTAGAGGGAGACTAGAGGGAGACTAGAGGGAGACTAGAGGGAGACTAGAGGGAGACCAGAGGGAGACCAGAGGGAGACCAGAGGGAGACCAGAGGGAGACCTACAGTAGAGTTTCGTTCGGGCCTGAAAAATGAAGCCCGACCCGGCCCGAGCCCGCTAATGTTAAGCCCGAGCCCGTATAAGCTCGACCAATGAACGCTGTATAACAGGCCCGAGCCCGACAGAACCCGACACATCTGATTTCCCGTTGTACGCACTCACCTTCCAATTGCAAGTTTAGTCTCCACTTTTGAATTTGTTTTGTCTCCACTTGATCCATTTCTACTATTGTTCCTGTTCGCTGTTGACCACAGCAGCAGGAGACACGGGGATGATGCGTTCACGGCTCGCTGCTGCTGTAGGACACGCTGGTTACGGTGTCATTAATATATTCACTTTTTTTAATAACTTGTTGTCAATCAACGGACATTGTTATTAATATATATATATATGCAAATCATTATGTATAAAAATCATTTAAAAATAATTATAATAATAACAAAAAAGAAAGATATATTTAAAAAAAGAAGCCCGAGCCCGGCACGAACCCGACAGCTGAGCGCCAAATGAGGCCCGAGCCCGGCCCGAACTCAGGTCGGGCCTCGGGCCTGCTCGGGCTCGGGCTGAAAAGCGAAACTCTAGGGAGACCGGAGGGAGACCGGAGGGAGACCAGAGGGAGACTAGAGGGAGACTAGAGGGAGACTAGAGGGAGACCAGAGGGAGACCACAGGGAGACAACAGGGACACCAGAGAGAGACCAGAGAGAGACCAGAGAGAGACCAGAGGGAACCCAGAGGGAGGCCACAGGGAGACCCGAGGGAGACCAGAGGGAGACCAGAGGGAGACCAGAGGGAGACCCGAGGGAGACCAGAGGGAGACCAGAGAGAGACCAGAGGGAGGCCACAGGGAGACCCGAGGGAGACCAGAGGGAGACCAGAGGGAGACCAGAGGGAGACCAGAGGGAGACCAGAGGGAGGCCAGAGAGAGACCAGAGGGAGACCAGAGGGAGACCAGAGGGAGACCAGAGGGAGACCAGAGGGAGACCAGAGGGAGGCCACAGGGAGACCCGAGGGAGACCAGAGGGAGACCAGAGGGAGACCAGAGGGAGACCAGAGGGAGACCAGAGGGAGACCAGAGGTAGACCAGAGGTAGACCAGAGAGAAACCAGAAAGAGACTAAACATAGACCAGAGGAACCAGAAACTCTCAACTCTCATTCCTTCCCTCCCATAGCTTCGCTCCCTCACCCTCTCCCCCGTTCCTCCCCCCTCAGGTCTGGGGAAACCCAAAGCCTGATGTGGTTTGGGAGAAAGACGGTAAGAAGCTGACGGAGATCTTCGAGAGCACTCACTTCAGCGTTGGCTCTCAGGACGGAGGCTGGTTCCAGCTCAAGATCTTCAAAACACGAGCCCCAGACGGAGGGGTCTACACCTGCACGGCCAGGAACGAGTTTGGGGAGGAGCTGGCGGGGGCCGTCCTCCTGGTGGACGCAGGACCAGGGCATGAGGACGAGGGACAGAGAGGGTAAGGACTGAGGACAGAGGGTCTCTTTCTGGTCTCTCACTGGTCTCTCTCTGGCCTCTCTCCGGTCTCTCTGGTCTCTCTCTCTGGTCTCTCTCCGGTCTCTCTGGTCTCTCTCACTGGTCTCTCTCCGGTCTCTCTGGTCTCTCTCACTGGTCTCTCTCTGGTCTCACTGGTCTCGCTCTGGTCTCTCTCTGGTCTCTCTCTGGTCTCTAACACCAACGCTTGTCTCCCTCAGAAACGGCTACACTAACGGTCAGTGGAAGTCCGGTGGTGGTCGCGGCGGCGGCCGATCGGCACCAAACCGAGTGGGCGACACGGTAACGAAGACAGCGAAGGTGAAGATGTTCGCCGTGACTGAGGGGAAGCACGCCAAGTTCCGCTGCTTTGTGACGGGAAAACCCAAACCCGAGATCATCTGGAGGAAGGACGGGCGGCTGATCCTCTCCGGGAGGCGGTATCTGCTCTACGAGGACCGCGAGGGATACTTCACGCTCAAAGTACTCTACTGCAAACAGAAGGACAATGGAGTCTATGTGTGCGCCGCCTCCAACACAGCGGGACAGACTCTGAGCGCCGTGCACCTGACCGTGAAGGGTGAGGAGTGTGACATCACCACTGTGTGACATCACCACCATGTGACATCACCACAGTGTTTGCCTTGATGCAGAAAGGTCGATTTGAACATAAACTAGAGCCTTATATGGGCATTTGTTTGACATCTGTAGCTTTGCAGCAAGGCTGTATACAGATGGACAATGCTAACCCGCTAGCTCTATGAAGCTACTATCTCTAGGTCCTATTGACTTCCATGTAAACGTAAACTCCTCTAGCTCAGGAACGTTTGTGTGACATCACCTTTATGGCCTTGAATCTGTGGTTTATCGCGCTCTCTGTCTTTGTAAATCCAGATATGAGCCATATAAGGACTGACCAATCAGAGGCCTTCATTCATGGGGACGTCAACGCTTCGTGCATTGTCCGTCTGTTTAGTGAAAGATGGTGATTGTTAAATCTTCTGTTTTATTTTCACTGGATTAATTATTTTTAACGTTTTTGGAGGACCAGGTCTAGCTCCTGGTCCCAGATCACTGCTCGCTGGTCTTGGTCCAACTTCTGGTCTCTGGTCCTGGTCTCTTGTCTCTGGTTTTTTATCTCTGCTCTATGGTCTTCTTTCGCTGGTCTCTAGTCTCTCGTCCTGGTCAAACCTGGTCCCTTGTCTCTGGTCCCTTGTCTCTGGTCTCTGGTCTCTGGTCTTGGTCTTACCCCTGGTCCCTAATCTAACAATGCAATACAATTTAATGTTGTATTTCCCTAATACAAGACTGTAGAACGAGGACTTAAACTGTAGATCCAGGACTCAGACTGTAGAACGAGGACTTAGGCTGTAGATCCAGGACTCAGACTGTAGAACGAGGACTTAGGCTGTAGATCCAGGACCTAAGCTACAGAACGTGGACCAGCGGCCGCTGAACGTGGACAGGTCCGGTGCAGGACTGAAGCACTCCCAGGCGGGTCGGGCGGGGCAGTCTGCAGGTGTAGATGGAGGAGGCCAGGTCCAGAGGACAATGGGACAACGGGTGAATAGCAATGAACAAACTACAGTCAAAATCCTAATAATGCTAAACAGGTAAAGTAGGAAAGAGGAGAGGATAATGCTGTTACCAAACTTCTCCAGCAGGGGGCTCCCTATGCAGCTTGACTGACAGTCTGAGGAGTTTAGCCTTCCCTGAGTCTTACCTTCCTAGCCATATGCTAAACTAAAGAGGACTGTTATAAACCTAGTTTAGAACGTAGGGTTGAAGATGCAGCGGACCGGCTCCCATACACATAGACTCCAAGACTGGACCAGACCAGACCGGACTAGACAAACAACCTAACCAAATGCTAAATTAGAGTGTTTTAAGGCTGTCTGCTCCCTTAACGTGGATGGGGAGCTGATTCCACAGTAATGTCACGTGAGAACTGAAAAAATAGGGAACCCAAAATGCAGGACTGAAAGTCGAATGTAATTTAATAAAAATCGAAATCCAGAGAAACAAAAAGCACAAAAGTCCAGAAGTGAAAAACTAGACAAACTTGGTAGAGACAATGGACGGACAACAACAAAGCACAGGGTATAAACACACACACAGCAGACACAGGTGGATCACATCAGGGCGGGGCTAACAATCAACAGGACACACAGGAATCACACTCAAAATACAAGAGCTAATAAAGTAAATAAAACCAAGTTAAAATAATCCAAAAAGTCCACACGATGACAAGTAAAGGAGCTTGGAGCTAAATGCTCTGCCACTGACAGTGCTTTTTGAGACCTTAGGACGTCTGGCGTTTTGTGAGCGCAACGCTCGACTTGGTTGATACGACACTAACGTGTCTTGGAGATAAGAAGGAGCCAAGCCATTTATGGCTTTATATGTTAGGAGAAGGATTTTAAACTTTATTCTGTACTCCACAGGGAGCCAGTGGAGTGATTTTAACACCGGAGTTATGTGCTCCCTCATTTTGGTGCCCTAGTCTCTGGTCTCTAGTCTTGGGTCTTACTCCTGGTCTCTCCTCAGAGCCTCCTGTCCGGTTCAAACAGCCGCTGATCGACCTGGAGGTGTGGGAGCGGGACTTGGCCGTGTTGGAGTGTGAGGTACCAGAAGACTCGGTCCCCATCACCTGGTACCTGGAGGACCGCAGGCTGCAACCAGGGGACAAGTACGGCATGGAACAGTGGGGGACCAAGAGGAGACTGACCATCAGAGACATTGGGGTCGACGACGACGGAATCTACCTGTGCGAGCTGCCGGACGGGGGGAGGAGCATCGCTGAGGTGGCTGTGAGAGGTGAGGGGGAGAGAGGGGGAGGGAGGCCAGGGGTGGGAGAGAGGGGGAGGGAGGCCAGGGGAGGGAGACCAGGGGTGGGAGACCAGGGGTGGGAGAGAGGGGAAGGAGTAAGTAAGTAAGTAAGTAATGTTTATTTATATAGCACATTTTACAGACCAAGGTACAGACCCAAAGCACTTTCCAATGTTCAGAGTCAGATATTGTTCCAATCCTTCCACAGACGGTGATGACAGAAGTGAGTCCAGAACACACTGGACCATCAGCTCCAATTCTTGCCGAGTGCTATCCACTCAGCCACCGTACCGCCCAAGGAGGTCAGGGGAGGGAGGCCAGGGGAGGGAGAGAGGGAGAGGAAGACCAAGGGAGGGGCACCAGGGGAGGAAGAGACGGGGAGGGAGGTCAGGGGAGCGAGGCCAGGGGGGGGGGCGCACCAGGGGAGGAAGAGAGAGAGGAGACCACAAACAGGGCCTTAGCATGTTAGCATTTTAGCACTCCTCACTCTCCTTCTCACTCTCTCCTTCTCTTCCTCACTCTCTCATTACCCTTTTCTCCTCCTTTCCTCCTCCTCCTCACTCTTTCCTCCTCCTCCTGCTCTCCCCCTCCTCCTCATCTTCTCCGCCTCCTCCTCACCCTCTCCTCTTCCTCACTCTCTCATCACCCCCTTCTCTTCCTTTTCTCCTCTTCCTCACTCTTGCCTCCTTCTACTTCTACTCCTCCTCTTCCCCCTCCTCCTCACACTCCTCCTCACACTCTCCTCTCCATCTGCTCCTCACTCTCTCCTCCTCCTCTCCCACTCCTCCTCACCTCTTCCCCCTCCTTTCACTCTCATCCTCACACTCTCCTCCCCATCTGCTCCTCATTCTCTCCCCCTCACCCTCTTCTCCTGCTCCTCCTCAGGCACCATCTTGAGGAAGCTCCCCCGCAAGGTGGACGTGCTGGAGGGGGAGAACGCGGCGTTCTGTGTGGAGGTGGAGAAGGAGGAGATGGAGATCCACTGGTACAAAGACGGCGTGGAGCTGAAGGAGACGCACCAGACCATCCTCAAGTCCTTCGGCCGAACGCACATCCTCGTCTTCGTCAACACCAACCCCCAGGACACGGGCCAGGTCATGTTCTACGTGGACCGCTCCAAGACCAGCTCCCAGCTCAGGGTCAAAGGTCAGAGAGGGGAGGGGGTCAGAAAGGGAAGAGTCAGAGGTTAGAGAGGGGAGGGGGTCAGAGGGAGAGTGTCAGGGTGAGGGTCAGAGAGGGAAGGGTCAGGGGGAGGGTTGGAGGGTCATAAGTGTCAGTCTGTGTCTAAAGCCTCAGTCTGTGTCTAAAGCCTCAGTCTGTGTCTAAAGTCTCAGTCTGTGTCTAAAGCCTCAGTCTGTGTCTAAAGTCTCAGTCTGTGTCTAAAGCCTCAGTCTGTGTCTAAAGCCTCAGTCTGTGTCTAAAGCCTCAGTCTGTGTCTAAAGCCTCACTCTGTGTCTAAAGTCTCAGTCTGTGTCTAAAGCCTCAGTCTGTGTCTAAAGTCTCAGTCTGTGTCTAAAGCCTCAGTCTGTGTCTAAAGCCTCAGTCTGTGTCTAAAGCCTCAGTCTGTGTCTAAAGCCTCAGTCTGTGTCTAAAGTCTCAGTCTATGTCTAAAGCCTCAGTCTGTGTCTAAAGCCTCAGTCTGTGTCTAAAGTCTCAGTCTGTGTCTAAAGTCTCAGTCTGTGTCTAAAGTCTCAGTCTGTGTCTAAAGTCTCAGTCTGTGTCTAAAGTCTCACTCTGTGTCTAAAGTCTCACTCTGTGTCTAAAGCCTCAGTCTGTGTCTAAAGCCTCTGTGTTTCCGGTCTCAGCCGCCCGCCACAGCCCGCCCAGCGCCCCGGTCTCGGTGCAGATAAACACGGAGAGGGCGAACGCGGCGCTGCTGTCCTGGGTCCCGGCGGGGGACTGCCGTAAGAACCCTCCGTCGGGGTACGTGCTGGAGCGGCAGGAGGTGGGCACCGGGTCGCAGGAGTGGCTGCAATGCCTCACCACAGACTCAGCGCGGTCTGTGGAGATCCTGGGGGACAGCGTTCCCTGTGAGGCAGACTTCAGGTTCAGGATCTGCAGCCTCAACAAGTACGGCAAGAGCGCCAACGTGGAGTTCCCCAGGACCGTGCATCTGGGTGAGAGCGGGCGGGGGGGAGGGGGGAGACTCCGTTCATCTGGGTGAGAGCGGGCGGGGGGAGGGGGGAGACTCTGTTCATCTGGGTGAGAGCGGGCGGGGGGAGGGGGGAGACTGTTCATCTGGGTGAGAGCGGGCGGGGGGAGGGGGGGGGGGGGGGGGGGGGAGGGGGGGGGCTCTGTTCATCTGGGTGAGGGGGGGGGGAGGGGGGAGGCTCTGTTCATCTGGGTGAGAGGGGGGGACACTGGGGATCTGAGTGAGACACCTCCTCCTCTCCTCCTCAGTCCCTGTGGCCAGGATCCAGGCCCCGCTGCAGGATGCCCTGGTCCCTGAGGGCCAGGATGCGATCTTCTCCATTGAGCTGACAGCGTCTGTGATCGGGACCTGGTTCCTGAACGGGACTCAGATCCAGGAGGACGAGAGGTTCTCAACGCGCCGCACACGTACGCACCAGTCACTCAGGATCCGAGGCGTACGCGACTCCGACAACGGGGCCGAGATTACCTTCATTGCATACGGGATCCGGGACTCTGCCGCCCTCTACATCCAAGGTGAAGGACTGCGGTTAGACCATGGAGCTGTTGTATGGTCTGTAATCTGTAATCTCTGATGTGGTCTCATAATCCAGGTCTAATCTCAAGTGTAGTCTCATAATCCAGGTCTAATCTCAAGTGTAGTCTCATAATCCAGGTCTAATCTCAGGTGTAGTCTCATAATCCAGGCCGAATCTTAAATGCATCGGTTTTATATAGCGCTTTTCTGGACACTCAAAGACGCTTTACATGTCATTATTCATTCTCTCCATACACAGTGGTGATTAACTACTACTGTAGCCACAGCTGCCCTGGGGCACACTGCTAGGCAACCAGTATGCGCCATTGGCCCCTCCGACCACCACCAACCATTCACACACACACAACAGACTCATTCTAGGCAATGGGGGTGAAGTGTCTTGCCTAAGGACACAACAGCAGTTTCGCACTTTACAGCCGCAGCCGCCCCACTGTGGCTGGTGTTCCCAGAGTTTAAGTGTCTTGCCAAGGACACAACGACAGCAGATATCAGTGGGAGTCGATGGTGAAGGTTGGGCTTGAACCCACGACCCTCTGGCTCAAAGGCCAATGCTCTACAAACTGAGCTGCTGTCGCCCTGTCGTCTCATAATTCTGGTCTAATCTCTCTGGCCCTCAGCTCCTCTGGTGAAGTTCTCTTCTTTGTCGGAGATGGACAGGAACAAGTTTGTGGAGATGGGGAACCCGATCGTGCTGTACTGCGAGCTGTCGGACCCCGCGGCGCCCGTGCACTGGTACAAGAACGGGGTGGAGATTCAGACCAGCGAGGGTCTCCACATCCAATCGGAGGGCACCATGAGACGCATCGTCATCCAATCAGCAGAGTTCTCCCACTCCGGCGTGTACTGCTGTGACGCCATCGATGACGTCATCCGCTTCAACGTGGAGGTGGAAGGTAAAGAGATTTTACTGTTGATAATCTGACCTCAGATCTGTCCTGAGCTTTAGGACCGAACGGACGAGATCACAGACCGAGTGCTCCCTTAGAGATAGGATGAGGAGTCTCTGTATTTCTGGTCTCCCTCTCTGGTCTCTCTCTGGTCCCTCTCTGGTCTCTCTATGGTCTCTCTCTGGTCTCTCTCTGTTCCCTCTCTGGTCTCTCTCTGGTCTCTCTCTGGTCTCCCTCTCTGGTCTCTCTCTGGTCTCTCTCTCTGGTCTCTCTCTGGTCTCTCTCTGGTCTCTCTCTAGTCTCTCTCTGGTCTCTCTCTCTGGTCCCTCTCTGGTCTCTCTCTCTGGTCTCTCTCTCTGGTCTCTCTCTGGTCTCTCTCTGGTCTCTCTCTCTGGTCTCTCTCTGGTCTCTCTCTGGTCTCTCTCTAGTCTCTCTCTGGTCTCTCTCTGGTCTCTCTCTCTGGTCTCTCTCTGGTCTCTCTCTCTGGTCTCTCTCTGGTCTTTCTCTCTGGTCTCTCTCGGGTCTCTCTCTGGTTCAATCATCACAGTCACAGAACATTATAAAGAGTAAAGATACATGCCCTTTGTTAGATTTGAACATTCTCAGAGAAGAAACTTCCAGATTTTAGCTGCATGAATCTGAAACACTGCCTCCTCATGTTTAGTCCTGACTCTGGAACCAGCAGGAGTCCAGTCCCTGTGCTCCTCAGAGTCCCAGCAGGAGGCCAGTCCCTGTGCTCCTCAGAGTCCCAGCAGGAGGCCAGTCCCTGTGCTCCTCAGAGTCCCAGCAGGAGGCCAGTCCCTGTGCTCCTCAGAGTCCCAGCAGGAGGCCAGTCCCTGTGCTCCTCAGAGTCCCAGCAGGAGGCCAGTCCCTGTGCTCCTCAGAGTCAGAGTTGGTTCAGATGTACTTAGGTGCGAGGCCTTGGAGACATGACTTTCAGAATGTCTAAAATGTCTTATGAATGGTTTCCTTCTTGGGTTTTTTTACTTTCTTGTGTCTGTTGTTGTGTCTGTTGTTGTGTCTGTTCTTGTGTCTGTTCTTGTGTCTGTTGTTGTGTCTGTTGTTGTGTCTGTTGTTGTGTCTGTTGTTGTGTCTGTGAGTCCATGAATCCTGAGGATGCTTTGTTATAATTCTTATTATGTTCTGATGAAACTGATGCGCTGGCCCTAGCTCCCCCGGTGCGGTTCTCGTCGGTGGCCGAGGCGGACAGGGCCCGGCGTGTCCCCTGTGGTCGGCCCCTGGTCTTACAGTGTGAGGTGTCAGAGGAGGGGGCTCAGGTGCAGTGGCTCAAAGACGGCTCTAAGGTGCTTCCTCACAGCGACCTGGACCTGAGGTCCGAGGGCAGACTCCGGACTCTGCTGATCCCAGAGGCTCAGACTCACCACTCTGGGCTCTACACCTGCAAGACTAAAGGAGACTCTGTCAGCTTCTCTGTGGACGTCACAGGTGAACCCCTCTGTCCCCCACTGTCTCCCTCTGTCCCCCACTGTCTCCCACTGTCCCCCTCTGTCCCCCACTGTCTCCCTCTGTCCCCCACTGTCTCCCCTCTGTCCCCCTCTGTCCCCCACTGTCTCCCTCTGTCCCCCACTGTCTCCCACTGTCTCCCTCTGTCCGCCTCTGTCCCCCACTGTCTCCCTCTGTCTCCCACTGTCCCCCTCTGTCCCCCACTGTCCCCTCTGTCCCCCACTGTCTCCCTCTGTCCCCCACTGTCTCCCACTGTCTCCCACTGTCCCCCACTGTCCCCCACTGTCTCCCACTGTCCCCCTCTGTCCCCCCTCTGTCTCCCACTGTCCCCCTCCTGCCCCCACTGTCCCCCTCTGTCTCCCACTGTCCCCCTCTGTCTCCCACTGTCTCCCTCTGTCTCCCTCTGTCTCCCACTGTCTCCCTCTGTCTCCCACTGTCCCCCACTGTCTCCCACTGTCCCCCTCTGTCCCCCACTGTCCTCCACTGTCCCCCTCTGTCTCCCACTGTCCGCCTCTGTCTCCCACTGGCCCCCTCCTTCCCCCACTGTCTCCCACTGTCCCCCTCTGTCTCCCACTGTCCCCCTCTGTCTCCCACTGTCCCCCTCTGTCTCCCACTGTCTCCCTCTGTCTCTCACTGTCCCCTCTGTCTCCCACTGTCCCTTTCTGTCTCTGTCCCCCTCTGTCTCCCACTGTCCCCCTCTGTCCCCCACTGTCCCTCTCTGTCTCTCTCTGTGTCCCACTGACCTCTGACCTCAGCATTAACAGCCCAGAGCTTATGTCTTGTTTTATATTTTGGCTTCATCTTTAATCAGAGCTGATTCATGTTTTTATTTAAACCTCTTTAACTCTAACCCTCAGTGATGTTCGAGATGTTGTGCCTTTGGGCAAATGTGTGAGACAAGGTACAGTATGAATGGATAAATGTCTGTATGAAAGGTACAGTTTGAAATATGGAGGTCCTGGTCCTCTCCTGGTCCTCTCCTGGTCCTGGTCCTCTCCAGGAGCAGAGGTCATTCCTCAGGAGGAGTTCCAGTCTGTCAGACTTGGTCGGTCTTGGTCAGAGCAGCGTCTGTTGTAGAGTTATTTTCTGTAATGATGGATAAATGTGGGCCAAATAAACATAATACATTGTGCTGTTGCTGTATCAGATTGTTGTGGTGAAGAGGGAGCAGTGTCTTTAGTCAAAGCACCAGAAAGGCAGTATGTAGAGAACAGAAAAAGACCAAACATTGACCCCTGGGGCGCTCCATAATTCCTCGTGTGATTCTACCTCTTCTTTTTTATTGTAATATTTATGTTTTTACTAAAGATGTAAGACATTCAAGGCCGAGATACACAAACAGTTGTTGGCCGTGGACTCTGTGTGGCGCACCAAGGCCTAATAATAATAATAATTATTTTTATCACAGATTGTGTGCCGTTGTTTCTTGATTTCTTTGCTATGGAATGAAATCTGTTTTAACCTGGCCGCTCTTTAGCTGTGTGCATTAGGTCACGGTGTCTGTGTCTTTCCCCTGTCTCACCCTTGTCTTTCCCCTGTCTCACCCTTGTCTTACCCTTGTCTCACCCCTGTCTCACCCGTCTCACCCGTGCCTCTCCTTGTTGCCTGTGAACCGCAGCTCGGCCCGTGCTCTTGACCTCCCTGGACACAGCCCGAGCCCTGTGCGTTCCCCTGGGTCTCCCTGTGAGGCTGCAGTGCTCGGTGTCTGAGGTGGGGGCGCCAGTGCAGTGGTTCCAGGACGGCATGGAGCTCGGGGCACAGGCAGGTTGCCAGATGTGGGCAGAAGGCAGCACCCGGGCCCTGTGCATCCCCGCGGCAGAGATGACCCACGCCGGTGTTTACACCTGCACCACGGGCGACGACTCGCTGGACTTCACGGTGGACGTGCAAGGTGACACTTCTCCCTCTGCTGCAGCTGAACTAAAGCTGCTCTTTGTAACTTTACAAAATCCCACTTGATGTTATTGCTATGTCTGGAATCAAACCACAAGACCCAGGACTGAGGCTGTAGACCCAGGACTGAGGCTGTAGACCCAGGACTGAGGCTGTAGACCCAGGACTGAGGCTGTAGACCCAGGACTGAGGCTGTAGATCCAGGACTGAGGCTGTAGATCCAGGACTGAGGCTGTAGACCCAGGACTGAGGCTGTAGACCCAGGACTGAGGCTGTAGACCCAGGACTGAGGCTGTAGACCCAGGACTGAGGCTGTAGATCCAGGACTGAGGCTGTAGATCCAGGACTGAGGCTGTAGATCCAGGACTGAGGCTGTAGATCCAGGACTTAGGCAGAAAACTGCTTAAGTCTTTCCTCAGCGATCTCTAAAGACTCTAAAGCAGGGGCCTCCGACCTCTGCATCATCTCAGGAGATACCTGTATCTCTCGTATGTCACAGATGTCTTATGCACACCTCCTGTACATTCACACAGTACATAGATAGTCTGGCCATATGTAGAGAACAGGAGAGGACTAAACATCGACTCATTATGGTCAAATTGGTCAGTATGATTTGCCTTTATGTCATGTAGTAAATATGTCTTTAAAGATAGATATCGCCAACATAGACAATACAGGCAAAGATGGAGACCTCCAATCCTGATTTTAAACCCAGGAGTAAAATCCCCTCTTACCCTTGACACAGAACTAAACCACAACATATGCAAAGACCATGTTATTTCCCAGTTTAGCACCTGGATCGCTCAATGTAATTTACTTCTTAGAACTCCCAGATCTAGAGTAAGTTTGCCTAAATCAGATTCTATCTCATTCAGACGAAAGAACGAATTCCAGACAGAGTAATAACATTATGGATACGAGATGGAGGCCTTCGCCATGAGTGAAGCTACTCCCTGCTACGTTCTTCTCTTTAGTTTACTGTTTTAAGTCTGTTTTTCCTGTTAGCTACTATCTTCTGATTTCTCCAGTGTAATTCCCTTGTGCTATCGCTGTAATAACCTGTTTGTGTAGATGCGTCTAACCGCCGCTGCTTCAGTCTTCTGTTCGCTCTGTAACCTGTATCTCACTCCAATGTCTTGTGATGTTTTAAATGTCCCAATGCTAGCTATCCCTGCGCCCACTGTCTTTGAGCGGACGAGGTCTCTTGAGGCGGTCGAACCCCTGGAGCTGGAGTACGAGGTCCCAGACTCCGCCGTTTCCATTTGCTGGTTCAAAGACAACGTATCGCCACTGCCCCCAATGCGAAAACACGTCATTCGGAATGAGCCTAAAGTCACAGAAAGAGAAATTCACGTTGTTTCGTCCGCGGAGATCTTGCATTCAGGGTTAAACCGCTGTGAGACCGAGGATGACGCTACTGTCCCCGTCTCTGTGCATCAGAAAGGTGACTGCTTCTGTGGTAGTGTGTAGCTGTTTTTGAGAGTCCAACTAACAACTACTCAATGTACATGTTGTCCTGGTCCCTGGGTTTCCATGTTCTAAATGTGTAATGTCTTTAACCTCCTTTTCTCATGGTATTTTTGGAGTACATTGTCCCCTCTTCGTTACCAAACAATCTTTGTAATATCTACCACATCTGTAGCTTCGTCCTCGCCATTGTCGCCCACTTTGGAGACGGTCGATGACTTTTGTGCGACAGAAATGTGTGTAAAACTGGATTGTGTGGTCCAGGCGTCAGCACAGCTTAACGCAACCCTGACTGAAGTGTTGAGCTGCCAAAGTGAAGCAGCTAAAGTGAAGGAGAGCCTTTTAACAGAACACACAGCAACGTCAAACTGGGGCCTGCTCTGTTACCCAACACCTGACGATGTTGTAATGCAAAACCAAGGTGATTTTTTTATGTTTTGTAGTGCGTCCAAGTCATGACTAACTGTGTGTGTCGCTTTGAACGTGTCTCTGTGTTTCTGAGTTGTGTTGCCATAACTCAGTAGGATTTCATGTTTGTGACGTTATAGATGAATGTTCAGTGTTTTCTGTGACTGTTTTGCTTGAAGCGGAGAAGACCGGTCCGAGCGTGGGGCCCACATCCATCGTTCAGCAGTTTGAAATCTCCGATCCCGTGGCCAGAGCCCGTTGGTACAAAGACGGGACTCCGATCGGCGCAGAGATAGAGAACCTCCTTGATGTCAGAAGTGAGCCTGATAGAGCTGGACAAAGCTGCGAAGCTGGACACTCCTTAAGTCCTAAAGTCGCTGATAGAGCGATAGAGCTGCAGAACACTGCTCATCTTAATAGTTTGATAGAAAGCCCCGGTCCTGGGCTTGTCTTTAGTCCAGCGCAGATCGTCTACTCCTCTTCTAACAGCGCTGAGGCCTTTGCAAACCGGGTTCCCACAAATGCAAGCGATACAGGTGGAGTCCCGCCCTGCACTTTTCCTTGTGTGGTCTGAAAAGGCCACGCCTCACTGTTTTCTCTTTGAACAGAGCAGGGCCAGGCTCCCGACAGTCCGAGACAGGCTGAGTCGGCCCCAAACACTGTCCAAGACAAAGGTGATTTCATCTTCAGTCATCCATCCATGTAACACAATCAAACGCCTCTAACCAGAGTGGAACCATCCCTGCGCCTGAAGATGTGTGACCGCTTCTCCATCACCTTCTCCACCATCTCCTGCCCTTCTTCTCAGTGTTGTCTTGTCTTTGCTAACTCCATGTGAGTCCTCTTCATGCTAACCGCTATCTTGCTTCTAACCTTTACTCTTAAATGTCATCTTACTCTTATCAACACAAGACCCCTCCATGTCATTGCTGCCCTGAACATGACCCCGTTGCAATGACAAAAACTGGACCTTATGGGATTTTACGGATAATTGTAGGGAACGGATAAGAAAGTTATTAAACAGAAGTTCTTAGGAGGGAGAAACCAATGGCCAATCTGGGCCATCTTGTTTGTCTTTGCAATGGATCCTCCATCACTCCATGCTAACCCACATGATGCAAACATTCTGTTGAGACCATCACCACTGAAACCTTTCTCTGTGCACCACCACTGCCTTTAGCCCCAACGGCGGCGCCCCAAGACCAGGAGAGGAACTGGGCCAGAGAGACGAGGAGCCAAGAGCAACGGGGCTCAAAGGAGGAGAGGCTAAAGACCAGGACAGAGAAAGCAGACCAAGAACATACAAGCAGGAGCAAGAATATAGAAGAAGACAAGCTAGAGCTGGAGAGGCTAGAGCTGGAGAGGCTAGAGCTGGAGAGGCTAGAGCTGGAGAGGTTAGAGCTGGAGAGGCTAGAGCTGGAGAGGCTAGAGCTGGAGAGGCTAGAGCTAGATAGACTAGAGCTGGAGAGACTAGAGCTGGAGAGGCTAGAGCTGGAGAGGCTAGAGCTGGAGAGACTAGAGCTGGAGAGGCTAGAGCTGGAGAGGCTAGAGCTGGAGAGGCTAGAGCTGGAGAGGCTAGAGCTGGAGAGGCTAGAGCTGGAGAGGCTAGAGCTGGAGAGGCTAGAGCTGGAGAGGCTAGAGCTGGAGAGACTAGAGCTGGAGAGACTAGAGCTGGAGAGGCTAGAGCTGGAGAGGCCAGAGCTGGAGAGGCTAGAGCTGGAGAGGCTAGAGCTGGAGAGACTGGAGGCAAAGGCCCCAGAGAGACTTCTCAAAAAGAACAAGGTAAATGAGAAGAAGAGACCATATGAGGAGGATAAGGCAGAGAGTGCAGAGGAACAGAGCCTAGGCGACAGGTGGAACAGGACCAGAGAGATGAGACCTGGAGAAAGAAGTCCTGAACAAGAGGAGAAAAGCACTAAGGAGAAAAATCCAGGGGGACCTGGCCTAGGGGCTGAGGGTCCAGAGGATGTTTCAGAGAAAGAGCCTCTAAAGCAGGTCTCCTCTTCACTGCTCAAAAGCTCTGTCTGCAGCAGAAGAAAACCAGTGACCAAACACACAGAAGCAGAGCATTCCAGACAAACTGTTCCCTCTCTGCTGAGCTCAAAGGCAGTTTCACTGAAGAAACCAAACTATCTGCTAAAGACAGACACTGAGTCTGTCTCCAATGGTGTCTGCAGGAAGGTCCCTCTTCAGCTCCTGGAAGACTCTCTGTGGACAGACGCTGCTGATTCTGCTGTGACACTAACTCAGCACGGCACGGACAGGTTCAGCTCCGCTGAGGAGGACTTTATCTACTTCACTCAGCTCAGACAGTCTCTGGAGGATGGCAGGTCGGCCGCAGTGTCTGCTCAGTCCAACATGCTCCAACAGACACTGATCAAACCTTCTGTGACTGAGGTTCTACATCCACAGAACTCTCCCTCCGCTGAGGCCTGCAGGTCTGAGCTCCACACTGTCGACAGCTTACACTCTGGCCCTGGAGCTCACAGACACTTTCCCAGAGGCACAGACTCTGGCAGGGGTCAGACTCCGTTAGAGCAGTCTGGACTCACAGCACAGAGCTCTTCAGTCCGATGGGAGGAGAGAAGACCTGCAGCTGAAGAGCAGATGTCCATTCAAACTATGGCAGACCTGAACCATGTGGAGCTGCGTCTGTCACAGAACTATGAGAACCTCCTTCAGACGACAGAGACCTGCAGAGACCTCAGTGACTGCAGCATCCAGGAGTTTAGAACAAACAACGTTCAGCTGAAAGAACCCTCTTCAGAGACTGCTCTGTGTTCACAGCTTAGTGAAGTTCAGGGCAGATACAGTGCCCCCAGTGGTCAGACACATCCTTGCAGCTCCCACAGTGTCGTCAGTGACAATCTCCGCTTTGCTCGACCGAACCAGAACCTCTGGTCAGGGTCACAGCCATCACAGCTCATGTCACCACAGAGAACAGACCTCCTCCAGTCAGACCTCCTCCAGAGAGACACAGATGGTCTCTTCTTCTCTGGACAGAGGTTGCACGCAGCAGCTGATCAGATAAAACCGTCTAAAGAAACATATTTCTCTAAGAGTATTGGAGATCACAGCGGTGACAGAGCGAATCCGGGTTCTAAAGGTGATTTCCTGCATTTCCAACTGAACGGGGTCGAGACAATGTAGATCTTGTGACATTGTGTACATGAGCAGAACAAAGCACCAAAGTTCCAGATCTGGGAATTTCAGTTTATCTTAATGTAGAAAGTATGTGTTTTAGTGGTTCGTTTGAGATTCTAGTTGTAGATACATCTCCACTTTAAATCCTAAAACAGATGTGGTAACTTCAATCTGGCACTGTGTTTCCCCTACAGAAATAATCACACACTCTGCTTAAGTATATAAAGATTAAATATATATATGAGACAGAGTCAAGTCCAACCCACAGCTGTGAAGCTGATCCTGCGAAACCGAATGTTCAGCTTGAATACATACTACCATGTATGGCTGGACACAGGCTTAGACTACAAGCGCCTTTGGTAGAAACGTCTAAGACCTCCAAAATACTAGAGCTGATACAACAATATCCAGATACAACACAGACCTTTGACTTTTAGCTTCATCCATGGCTTTCAAACAGGCCTCAGTCACTCACATCGCTTAGAACTGTCTGTGAACTTGACCAACTGGATAAATCTCAGTTGTGGGAAAGTTCCAGGCCCCATGTAAAGGCCCTTACAGGAGCAGGGTGTTGGTTCTATTCCAGGTGTGAGATAAGACGTGGATGTGTCTAAGAGGTGTGCTTGTGTCCACACTAACAGAAGGAGAACTGACGTGTAGCTGTGGCATGTCTAACCCTCAGAGCTCCTGCCGCTCTCAGTCTGAGGTGATAACGTTGTTTTGGTGTGACGTCCTTAGCCCCCGTCAGCCTCAACGCCCTGGGGGAGACACAGAGGTCATGTGACGCGGGCCAGGACATAGACCTGACCTGCGAGGTGTCCGACCCCAGAGGGACCGTGACCTGGTCCAAGGACGGGGCTCTGGTTTGTGAGGGACCGGACTTGAAGATTCTCTGCGATGGTTCAATGCGCAGTCTCAGCATCGCTGCAGCTGCCCCAAGGCATTCTGGGACCTACGGCTGCCACACGGACAGCCGCTGCGTGGTCTTTGAGGTGGAGGTCAAAGGTGAAGAGAGTGCTGTAGCCTCCTGTAGCTGCATGTGCTAATGCAGGACCGAGCTAATGCTAACGTAGGTCCAAGCTAATGCTAATGCAGGACCGAGCTAACGCTAACGTTGGTCGGAGCTAATGCTAAAGCAAGACCGAGCTAATGCTGTAGCAATCTTCTGCTTATAGACCCATGTTCTTAAGCTCTTCTGTGTGTATCTGTGTGTGTGTTTAAGTGTGTGTATCTGTGTGTGTGTTTAAGTGTGTGTATCTGTGTGTGTGTTTAAGTGTGTGTATCTGTGTGTGTGTATCTGTGTGTGTGTCTGTGTGTGTGTTTAAGTGTGTGTATCTGTGTGTGTGTATCTGTGTGTGTGTATCTGTGTGTGTGTTTAAGTGTGTGTATCTGTGTGTGTGTTTAAGTGTGTGTTTAAGTGTGTGTATTTGTGTGTGTGTGTGTATTAATTGCATTACAGCAGTGGTTCCCAACCTTCTCCCTCAGGGTTCCGGAGAGAACTGTCGTTGCTCCATCACTTATACGTATCTTATCTTTACTCTTACTTATAGATCACTTTGTTCAAAGAGTAAAACTATCAATGTTTCAAAGTAAACAACATAATAATAACATAGTACTGTAAAGTGTTTACACAAATACACACAATGGGTTTTAAAGGATGAATTATTGATCAGTTGAAAAGATTTCCCTCGTAGACTCTACGGCAGGAAGTTAATCTCATTCAGCTCAGAGGCCGAAACCATAAAAACTTTAATACATTTATTTATGTAATTTATGAAGGATTTTGACTTATTAATTACCTGTTTGTAACGAGTGTTTGTTTGGATTGAACCAAACAAGACCAAAGACAGAGAAGGCTGTAATTATCATCAATTTATTTTATTTAACTTAATCTAACGACAGGTTCAAATGTTACGATACATCAGATGTGATGGTTCATCTAAGGGGGTCGCATACCTCTGGTTGGGAAACATTGCATTACAGTACAAACAGCTTTGTTTGGTGCAGTCCTGGGGCAGCTGTGACTTGCCCTGGGGCAGCTGTGACCTCTCCTCCTCCTGTTTCAGCCCCTGTGCTCAGGTTCAGCGCTCTGCCTGAGGCCGAGCTCTGGAAGAGTGTGGTGCAGGGCCGGCCGCTGGCTCTGCAGTGCGAGCTCTCACACGCACATGGTCAGGTCACATGGTACAAAGATGGGGCGGAGCTTCTGGCCAACAGCGGAGTGGGTGTCCAATCAGAGGGCCAGAGAAGGAGCCTGTATGTGGCGTCTGCTCAGCGGCAGCACTGCGGCGTGTACCGCTGTGAATCCAAAGACGACCACGTCCAGTTCACCGTGGATGTGCGAGGTGACGAGCTAACGTGGCTAACGTGTGCGCTGCTACTAACACGGCGGCTAACGGTTAACTCTGCACATGGTAGAGTAGAGTTACAAGATAAAAACACCAACGGTTGCATCTGAAACCGAAGAAGAAGCTACAGATACTAACGACATGATTATATTAAACACGTCGGAATGACTACGGATAGAATTTTATCGGACTTAAAAGTCTCTGATTGTTGAGACCAGAGGGAATGTGGTCTGAGAGATGAGAGATTAAGGACTCACTGCTGCAGCGAGATCAACACGAGACTATAACTGTAGCCAGGGTTAAAATCAAGCCTTACATTTAGTCTGGAATGAATCCTTTTCCTCCTGATTCTGTTTGAAAGTGGATTACCTCCACAACAGACATCTAAGACTGAGGCTGTAGACCCAGGACTGAGGCTGTAGACCCAGGACTGAGGCTGCAGACCCAGGACTGAGGCTGTAGATCCAGGACTGAGGCTGTAGACCCAGGACTGAGGCTGTAGACCCAGGACTGAGGCTGTAGACCCAGGACTGAGGCTGTAGACCCAGGACTGAGGCTGTAGACCCAGGACTGAGGCTGTCTCTGTCCTCTTTCCCACATCTTTTCACACTTTTCTTCTTAAGGAACACGTTATTTACTTTTCTTTAATTCCGAAAAGTTGATCCACTTCAGCATTTCTGTGTTTTCCCTTCTCAGAATCTGTTCTTGAGGCTAACACTAGACTTTAACTCCTACTTTTCCTGCTGGACCATGATTCTCTTGGACTTCAGACATGGTTGTTGCCTGATCTTTAACCGTCTGTTGTTTCTTCTGTTTTCCTCGGTTTGTCTCTAACTTCTTTAACTCCTTCTGAGTCTCCAGCGCAGTCGTCTGTCCCAAAGCTCCTGTCTTAAACTCTTTACTCTGGTGTCTTTGAAATAATTGGCTCCACTTGTGTCGGCCGTAGAGCCCACGGCGAGAGCGGCGAGGTTCTTAGAGCTCAGAGACGCAGACAGGAAGCAGAAGGTTCCAGAAGGTTCTCCGCTGGTTCTCCGGTGCGAGCTCGGCCAGGACCATGCCGCTGAGGTCACCTGGTCCAAAGACGGGGAGGGGGTGGACCCCGAGGCTGAGGTGGAGGTGGAAGGAGTGGTGCGTCAGCTGAGGATCCAGTCGGCCTCAGCTCGGCACAGCGGGGTCTACACCTGCTCCACCCAACACCACCAGGTCCAGTTTCAGGTGGACGTCAAAGGTGATGGAGCAGAGGGTGAAGAGAGCGAGGGATGGGACGAAAGCCTGGGTTTAGGTCCATGTGAAAGTGAGGGGGGCTGAGGCTGTAGACCCAGGACTGAGGCTGTAGACCCAGGACTGAGGCTGTAGACCCAGGACTGAGGCTGTAGACCCAGGACTGAGGCTGTAGACCCAGGACTGACGCTGTAGACCCAGGACTGACGCTGTAGACCCAGGACTGAGGCTGTAGACCCAGGACTGAGGCTGTAGACCCAGGACTGAGGCTGTAGACCCAGGACTGAGGCTGTAGACCCAGGACTGAGGCTGTAGACCCAGGACTGAGGCTGTAGACCCAGGACTGAGGCTGTAGACCCAGGACTGACGCTGTAGACCCAGGACTGAGGCTGTAGACCCAGGACTGAGGCTGTAGACCCAGGACTGACGCTGTAGACCCAGGACTGAGGCTGTAGACCCAGGACTGAGGCTGTAGACCCAGGACTGAGGCTGTAGATCTGCTCCAGATAAAGCGCCGACCCAAACGTGTGGAGAGACAGAGCCCTTCTTGTGCACCAGCTTACTCTCCCTCTTGGAGAAAATTTCACTTATTTTTTTCTTTCTAAGAATAAAGTGAGCTTTTGCGTCTGTAATACATTATAGACGTAGATAACTTTTACTGGAAAAGATTTGAAATGGATTTGTCCAAAAAGAATGCAAGCTTTACCTATTCTTGTGTTTCATTAAACTGGCCAGTAGGGGGCGCATGAGTCTGGCCTGTAGGGGGCGCATGAGCAGAGATGAGACAGTGTTGCTCCCAGTGAAAACCATGTAACGTCTGTTTTGGAGTCAGAGGCTCTCCTCCTGTGCGCTGTACGGTTGTTGGAACAATCTTAATCGGAGACACTCAATTCTAAGGGAGCACTAAAAAATATTTCTCAAAAGTCTTGATTTCGGGCATTTTTGGAAAAAAAACTAAAAATGGCTACGTTTCATTGGGGTGGCCTGCAGGGGGCGCTTATCTGGGAAAGCCTTGATCCACCTCGCCCGCCTCATTCCAGTGATTCTTTCAAAGTGTCCTCCTTTATATGAGACCACAGTTGGAACATGAACAAACTCTGTCTTTCTATTTGTGCGGTTGCTACAAGCCGCACAAAAAGATGCTTCTTCTTCTACTATATCTCCGTGTAGAAACCCGGCAGACTGCTCCGCCAGGATACGTTTGTTATTCACGCCGCTGCCCTAAAGTCATATGAAACCCAAGAATGGAGTAGAAACTTAGCGACTGAAGCATCAGTGGGAAGCCGACCTTTCAAAGAATCTAAACACTATTTAGATGAACATGTACCAGGGCCTCTAGTCCCGTATCACCAGAATGATTGACAGTTAGAAGCACCAATAGTCTTGATGATCCACCCGGAAAAAGACAATCCTCCTTTCTATCGTTAAATGAATGGAGTTAAAGGTAGAACAAACAAGTAGAAACAGAGCAGAGAGTTGTAAAGACCAGATTAGCAGCAAAGACACTGCTCTTGGCGTTCTCGTGTTACACATGGTAAATCCACCATATTGCGCCACATGGTCTGTTCGCCCCATTCCTGGTCCTGCACCAGCGTTAAACCTGTCCTCCCTGTTCCAGGCAGAGCTCGCCTGTTGCCCACGACTCTGTCAGAGAGGCACAGACTGGTGCGTGCGGGGGCTCCCATAGTGCTGCAGTGCCAGGTGTCTGAGGTCGCGGCTCAGGTCACATGGTCCAAAGAGCGCGTGGAGCTGTTCTGTAGAACCGGCCTGGACATGAAGCGCGAGGGCTGCGTCCGGAAGCTCCTGGTGCACTGCGCTAAGCCGAGCGACGCCGGCATGTACAGCTGCAGCCTCAGCGGCGACGTGGTCACCTTTATTGTTGCCGTGCAAGGTGAAGTGTGTGGCCTCTGTATGCAGATGCTAACACAGGCTGTATACAGATGCTAATGCTAACACAGACTGTATACAGATGCTAATGCTAACACAGACTGTATACAGATGGACAATGCAAACACAGGCTGTATACAGTTGCTAATGCTAACACAGACTGTATACAGATGCTAACACAGGCTGTTTACAGAGGGACAATGCTAACACAGACTGTCTAGAGATATCTCACGTGACGTCACGATGCCTCGAACCATACTGGAGGACAAGCAAACGCTGTATGATAGTGGCGTGCACCCGGGACCGCATAAACATGTTCAACATTTTTTGCCGTTTTTGGCTGCAGCTAAAGGAGAGACAGGGAAAATAAGTTGTGTTACCGACTGCCAGCCGTCCTTACTTCACACAGCTCAAAAACAGAAGAAATCTCAAAGAAACGAGAGAGAAATGGCACAACGCAACAACAACAAACTAATAGCCCCCAGAGCGCCCGAATATGCTCGGATCATTTCATTTCTGCTAAGTGAAATCAATTTGATGGTGGATTTAGTGTTATTCCAAAACAAACAGAAGTTTAAGGATAAAACATATCTGTCTGACTGCAACGTGGGGTTGCTCCATAGACTGTAGCTTAGCTTGTAGCATAGCTGTTATATCAGAATCAGAATCAGAATCATTTTTATTGCCAACGTAAGTAACGGGAGGTCACAGACTTGGAAATTGCTTTGGCTCAGTGCAACAGTCAAAAAGAGATAATAAAAATAAGAATAAAAAACACTTCTAAAGAATAAATTTAAATTTAAAATAGAGTTACAGTTACTATTTACAATATACAAGTGCACATGGTGCACACAATGTAAGGTGACAGCAGTACAGTGAAGTAAAGTGACGTATGATGGGCAGTAAAGTGACTTTATAAAGGGCGGGGGGACAGGTTAAGAAGTGTTCAAGAGTCCAACAGCAGAGGGGAAGAAACTGTTCTTGTGGCGGGAGGTTCTAGTCCTGATGGACCGCAGCCTCCTGCCTGAGGGGAGTGGTTGGAATAGTCCATGTGCAGGGTGAGAGGGGTCGGCTGTGATACGACCAGCCCGGCCTCGAGCTCGGGCGACGTACAGGTCCTGCAGCGATGGAAGGCTGCGGCCGATCACTTCCTCTGCAGAGCGCACAATGCGCTGTAGTCTCTGTTTGTCCCTGACTGTGGCTCCAGCGAACCACACGGTGACGGAGGAGGTGAGGATGGACTCGATGATGGCCGTGTAGAACTGCACCAACATCTGTGCAGGCAGCTTGGCTTTCCTGAGCTGCCGCAGGAAGTACATCCTCTGCTGGGCCTTCTTGATGAGGGAGCTGATGGTCGGCTCCCACTTGAGGTCCTGGGTGATGGTGGTGCCCAGGAAACGGAAGGACTCCACAGAGGTGATGGGGGAGTCCATCACGGAGGGTGGGGGCGGGGGGACAGTGCTCTTCCTGAAGTCCACAATCATCTCCACTGTCTTCTGGGCGTTCAGCTCCAGGTTGTTACCACTGCACCAGGACACCAGCCGGTCCACCTCCCTCCTGTAGGCGGACTCATCGTTGTTGGAGATGAGTCCAATGAGGGTGGTGTCGTCCGCGAACTTGATCAGCTTCACGGAGTCGTGGCTGGAGGTGCAGTGGTTGGTGTACAGGGAGAAGAGCAGGGGAGAAAGAACACAGCCCTGTGGGGCTCCTGTATTTATAATCCGAGAGTCCGAGACATTCTTCCCCAGACGCACTCGCTGCTTCCTGTCCGTCAGGAAGTCAGTGATCCACCTGCAGGTGGAATCGGGCACGTTGAGCTGGGAGAGCTTGTCCTGGAGCAGGGATGGCAGGATTGTGTTGAAGGCAGAGCTGAAGTCCACGAACAGGACCCTGGCGTAGGTCCCCGGGGAGTCCAGGTGCTGTAGGATGTGGTGGAGGGCCAGGTTAATGGCGTCGTCTACAGATCTGTTGGCTCTGTAGGCGAACTGCAGGGGGTCCAGGAGGGGGGAGGTGAGGGACTTGAGATGGGAGAGAACCAGGCGTTCAAATGACTTCATGACGACAGACGTAAGTGCTACAGGTCTGTAGTCATTGAGTCCTGTGATCCTGGGCTTCTTCGGGACGGGGACAATGATGGAGGATTTGAAGCAGGCCGGGACATGGCAGGACTGCAGAGAGGAGTTGAAAATGTCCGTGAACACAGGAGTAAGCTCACTGGCGCAGTGTCTCAGAGTGGCCGGAGACACGTGGTCCGGGCCAGGAGCTTTGCGGGGGTGCAGCCTCAGGAAGAGTTGTTTAATCTCTTTAGCGGCTATTGTTAGGCTGGGGGCAGGGCTGATGGGTGGGTCGTTAGAGTAGTGGGGGGTGGGGGAGGGAGAGGTGTCAGGGGCAGCATCAAAGCGACTGAAAAATAAGTTCAGATCGTCAGCTAGCTTGTGGTCATCAGCACAGGGGGGGGCTTTGGGTTTGTAGTTGGTGATCTCCCGTAGGCCCCTCCAGACAGAAGCAGTATCGTTGTTACCAAACTGCTCCTGTAGTCGTTCTCTGTGCCGGGACTTGGCTGCTTTCAGTTCTTTCCTGAACTGATATTTAGCTGCTTTGTAGCCGCTGCGGTCCCCCTCCCTGAAAGCAGACTCCTTTGCTTTCCTGAGCTGCCGGAGTTTAGCAGTGAACCAGGGTTTGTCGTTGTTATAGATGACCCTGGTCCTTGTTGGAATGATGCTATCCTCACAGAAGTGGATGTATGACGTCACAGTGTCCGTATATTCATCCAAGCTGTCTGTGGCAGCTCTGAAAAGGTCCCAGTCTGTAGATTCCATGCATGCGCGCAGCTCTTCCACAGCTTCATCAGACCACACTTTGGAGCTCCTCACTGCAGGTTTCGAGAGCTTTAGTCTCTGTCTGTAAGCAGGAACCAGATGTATCATGGAGTGATCTGAGAAGCCGAGGGCTGGCTTGGGAACAGCGCGAAAAGCTCCGCGCACGGTGGTGTAACAGTGATCCAGAGTGTTCTCCTCTCTGGTCGGGCAGATATTCCAGAGCAGGAGAGCAGTGCTTGGAGATCACTGTCACATCGTTACACCAGTTTGTATTGACGTAGAAACAGAGCCCTCCGCCTCTGCTCTTCCCTGAGAGCGCACAATGGCGATCCGCGCGAAACAGCCCAAAGCCCTGCAGCTCCAGAGCGCAGTCCGGGATCCGCTCATTTAGCCAGGTCTCAGTGAAGCAGAGGACACAGGATGTGGCGAAGTCCTTGTTTCTTCTCATGAGCAGGCTGAATTCGTCCATCTTATTGCCCAGTGAGCGTACGTTGGAGAGAAAAATGCCGGGGAGAGCCGTGCGCGCTCCTCTCCTCCTAAGACGCACGAGCAGGCCTCCTCGCTTTCCCCTTTTACGGGCCCACACTTTTTTGGCTAGAACATGAACTAAATCAGCCGCAGATGCCAAGAAAACAGGCAATAGGTCCATGGGAACGGAGGGTCGGATGTTCATAAGTTCCTCACGGGTGTAGGAACAGCCAGATGCACAGTTAAAAAGTAAAAACAAAAGAAAAAGAGAGCAGCAAAGAGCCATGTCGACCGTACGAGGCGCCATCTTATATTTGGTCTCACACAGGACCTGACCCGGTTCACAGGGGGTCTGACTTACCGAAGGCCAGCAGACATGTGAACGACTGAGCCGTGCTCCAGGGTGCCCCGTACTAGTATTTATTAATAAAATATACGGCTCCTCACAGTAGACGCAGAAAGCTCCATTGATTTGAATGTAATCTCATTATTTCCACTGCAGTGTAGCCACACATAGATCCATGGTGTAACAATAAACACATTAAATGTTAATCGGAGAATACATTATACATATACATTCTTAATACACGTGCACAGAGGTTTTCAGAATTTTCTGTTCACGTTTTCATGAAAAAACACTGTTTTAATGCGACAATATGCGACCGCGGTAAACCTGGATGTGACGATAAACATTAATAATACATTTTAGGATGCATTTTCAGAGGATCTGATTCATGAATTTAGGTTGAGTATATATTTGGGTCACTAACTGCTGAAGTTTAAAATTCTATGTTCAGTTTTCATGTAGTTCGAGAGAGTTCTAGTTTTGAACGTCCAGTTATAGATAGCTAGCAGGGCTGTTACTCGCCGAGGTTGTCCTCCAGTATGGCTGCCGTGGCTGCTAGTCACATGACCGTAGGATCCCTCGATACAGATGGACAATGCTAACACAGACTGTATACAGATGCTAATGCTAACACTGACTGTATACAGAGGGATAATCCTAGCCCGCTAGCTCAATGCTAACCTGCTAGCTTAATGAAGACCAATAGGGAAGTTTGGCTCCTCTCTCTGGTTCCTATTGACTTACATGTAAAAGTTAACTTAGTAAGCGTTTATGTCAGACTTGGCATTTTGGGTTTAGAGAGAGAGACCACAGAGAGGGACCAGATAAAGAGAGAGAGACCACAGAGAGGGACCAGAGAGTGAGACAATCCAGGGTATTTTTCTCTCTGTGGTCCTGGTGTTTATACGTGAGATTATCTTCGTAAATCTAGATATGAGCTATTTAAGAATTGACCAATCAGATGCTTTAAGTCGCGGGGGAAACTCCAGCTTGTCTTTGCAACTGTCTTAGCAAAGCTTCTGCCCCTGTTACTGCACAATGCTAATGCCGTCGGAGCAAATGCCCATATAAGGAAACTGGCTCCAACTTATGCAAAAAATTAGCTTCTTCTGTATTAAGGCTAACACTGGTGATGTCATATTCACTCAGACTGGTGACTGGTAGAGCTAACACATGTACTGAGGTCTGTGGTGCTGACATGAGTGAGATATGAGGCTCTGTAGCGCCCCCTTCTGGCTCTCAGCAGACATGGACACAGAGACAGCAGCTCCAGAGGTGGATGCAGAGACAGCAGGTCCAGAGCAGAAGGAACCATCCACGGTCCCCTTCCCACAGGGTTCCTCCAGGTCGCTCCAAGAAGCCCTCTCCCCACAGGGCCCTGTCCCGACTCGGGGCCCAGGTGAAGTCCAGTCCAGTCCAGTCCAGTTATTCTCATCTCATCTCATCCCATTAAGACCATGTTTGCACTTTAGATGTTCTTCTAATGAGACAGAGTTTAAGGTCCTTGGTTTTTTTCATTACCTTAAAACATTGTTCTACTAAAAAGACGAGAGAACCAGAGTTTGGAAGCTGCTTCACTCTGCAGACTCCGCAGCTCCAGCTTCTTTCCTCTGTGTCTTATTAGAAAATCTAAAGTTCTTCATCCGCTGGTTCTAACCCTGAAGCTTCTCCATCTCATCCTCATGCTGCGGGTCACGCTGTAGAAACTTATCTCTTTGGACTTTTTTTCTTGCACAAACTGAGAGTGACTGGAAATGGTCAGGCTCAGTTTAGGTTTAACAGAGAAAGGTTTAATATCTTCAAGACAGAATACATCGGCTGAATTCAGGCTAAGCCTGGATCCATTGTCTCCAGGGGACAAGGTTTGGGCCTGAGCGGAGTGTGAAGACCATCTGGACCAGAGAAATGTTCAGGTCTTGGTCCTCTCCAGGTCCGGGTCCTGGTCCGGGCCTTGGTCCTGGTCCTGTCCTGGTCCGGGTCCTCTGGAGGATGGACTGTCGAGACTGCAGTCAGAGCTCTGTGTTCACTGCTCAGTTTTCTCACCCTCACGATGGTCACAAGCTTGGATTAGAATTGTCGTCTGAACAATTCCTCAGAGAATTGTTCAGACGACATCGAGATCTGAACCGTCAAGAGATGAAGAGATTGAATGAAGGTGACGTCAGAGGCTTCTGTCGCCCCCGTGTGGAGAGAAAGAGAATCACTGAACAAGTGTGAAATGTGCTATATAAATAACATCCCTCATCAACACCAGCCCCTGTAGGTGGCAGTGTGGAGCATGCTCAGGTCCATCCGCATGGCTATGACCTCTCCCTCTCCTTTTCTTCACCTCTTCCTCTCATCTCTCTCCTCCTCTCCTCTTCCTCTCAGCTTTCCCCTCTCTCTTCCTCACCTCTCTCTCCTCCTCTTCCTCTCCTCTCTCCTTCTCATCACCTCGCTTCCTCCTCTTCCTCCCTCTCGCCTCCTCACCCCTCTCTCTCTCCTTGTCTCCTGCAGCTCCTCCGGTCACCTTCATGGAGATCCCGGAGGCGGACCTCCTGAAGACAGTGGTGGAGCAGGAGGTGCTGGTCCTTCGGTGTGAGGTGTCTGCTCCTGCTCCTGAGGGGGAGGTGCAGTGGTACCGGGATGGAGCAGAGGTCTCCTGCTGTGAGCGAGTGGAGGTCCAGGCTGAAGGAACGGTCCGGACCCTGACCCTGAGACCAGCTGAGCTCTGTGACACCGGGACCTATTCCTGCAGAACCGGAGACAGTGTGCTCATCTTCAAGGTCACTGTGAGAGGTACCAGGGGACGATCCACAGTGTCTCTCTGGTCTCTCTCTGGTCTCTCTCTGGTCTCTCTCTGGTCTCTCTCTGGTCTCTCTCTGGTCTCTCTCTGGTCTCTCGGGTCTTTCTCTGGTCTCTCTCTGGTCTTTCTCTGGTCTCTCTCTCTAGTCTCTCTCTGGTCTCTCTCTGGTCTCTCTGTGGTCTCTCTGTGGTCTCTCTCGGGTCTCTCTCGGGTCTCTCTCTGGTCTCTCTCTCTGGTGTCTCTCTGGTCTCTCTCTCTGGTCTCTCTCTGGTCTCTCTCGGGTCTCTCTCGGGTCTCTCTCGGGTCTCTCTCTGGTCTCTCTCTGGTCTCTCTCTGGTCTCTCTCTGGTCTCTCTCTGGTCTCTCTCTGGTCTCTCTCTCGGGTCTCTCTCTCTGGTCTCTCTCTGGTCTCTCTCTCGGGTCTCTCTCTCTGGTCTCTCTCTGGTCTCTCTCTGGTCTCTCTCTTGGGTCTCTCTCTCTGGTCTCTCTCTGGTCTCTCTCGGGTCTCTCTCTCTGGTCTCTCTCTGGTCTCTCTCTCTGGTCTCTCTCTGGTCTCTCTCTGGTCTCTCTCTCTGGTCTCTCTCTGGTCTCTCTCTCTGGTCTCTCTTTCTGGTCTCTCTCTGGTCTCTCTCGGGTCTCTCTCTGGCCTCTCTCTCTCTGGTTTCTCCCTGGTCTCTCAGATGTGTCTCCTTCTCCAGAGTCTCCGGTCTCCATCGTCTTCCCCAAAGAGGACGTGCACCTGGACCGTCATGTTGGGGAGGAGGTGGTCCTGAGCTGTGAACTGTCCCGACCCAACGGGGCCGTGGTCTGGTTCAAAGACGGACAGAAGCTTCAGGAGAGCGAGAACATCAAGCTGAAGGAGGAGGGGCCCTACAGGCGGCTGAGGCTGGGGAGCGGGAGACCTGAGGACAGCGGCGAGTACGTCTGCGACACCGACCACGACTCCATCTTCTTCCACATCAACATTACAGGTAACAGGACTGAGGCTGTAGACCCAGGACTGAGGCTGTAGACCCAGGACTGAGGCTGTAGACCCAGGACTGAGGCTGTAGACCCAGGACTGAGGCTGTAGACCCAGGACTGAGGCTGTAGACCCAGGACTGAGGCTGTAGACCCAGGACTGAGGCTGTAGACCCAGAACTGAGAATATAGACCCAGGACTGAGGCTGTAGACCCAGGACTGTATCTCCGGGACTGATCTTTCTGGTTTCTTCCTGTTCAGAGCCTCCGGTCCGGATCGTCTCCCCCAGCCAGCCTCAGATGGAGCTGTGTCAGCAGACCTCAGAGCGCATGGTACTGAGCTGTGAGATCTCGCGACCCAACGCTGTGGTGCGATGGTACCGCGATGGTCTCCAAGTCGAGGAGAGCCCCAACCTTCTGGTCGAGGAGGACGGAGTCTACAGGCGCCTGGTCATCCCCAAGACCAGCGTCCAGGACTCAGCCGAGTATGTGTGCGACACCAGCGACGACTCCATGACCTTCTTCGTCAACATCGCAGGTACAAACTGAGGCTGTAGACCCAGGACTGAGGCTGTAGACCCAGGACTGAGGCTGTAGACCCAGGACTGAGGCTGTAGACCCAGGACTGAGGCTGTAGACCCAGGACTGAGGCTGTAGACCCAGGACTGAGGCTGTAGACCCAGGACTGAGGCTGCAGACCCAGGACTGAGGCTGCAGACCCAGGACTGAGGCTGTAGAGCCAGGACTGAAGCTGTAGACCCAGGACTGAGGCTGTAGACCCAGGACTGAGGCTGTAGAGCCAGGACTGAAGCTGTAGATCCAGGACTGAGGCTGTAGAGCCAGGACTGAAGCTGTAGATCCAGGAGCAAGGCCTCTTTGACATGGATGTGGAGCTGGTCTCTCTCTGGTCTCTCTCTGGTCCCTCTATCTGGTCTTAGCAGCCTCATGGTCCTGGGTCTGGGTCTGGGGGACGCAGTGAGGTAGAGCTGCGAGACCCTGCACGACCGGACCCAGCATTAGCCTAGCAGCATTAGCCTAGCAGCATTAGCCTAGCAGCATTAGCCTAGCAGCATTAGCCTAGTAGCCTCAGCCCGGTAGCATTAGCCTAGCAAACACCACTGGAAACAGCGAACAACAGCACAACATTCAGACGGGGCTTGAGGCATCGCGGCAACAAAAATATATATTTAGACATGTCAGCTTCACCTCGAGGCACTGAGGATTCATCACACTCCAAAAAAAACGTGAAAAGTTCCAAAAACTGAAGCAGGTCTATAAATAAACTCAAAGACCACAGTAAACGGAGCAGAAACTCATGACGTCGCAGAGTGCTCCTTCTCTGCACTGAGAGGTCACTGTAAAAACTCTGCTCCTTTTACCAGGAACTGCTGCGGTGGAAACGAGGCTACTGATAATCTCTCCTCTGCTCCCCTCTCTCCCCTCTCTCCTCTCTCTCCTCCTCTCTCTCCTCTGCTCCTCTCCTTTCTCCTCTCCTCCCCTCTCTCCTCTCTCCTCTCTCTCCTCTCTCTCCTCCTCCTCTCTCCTCTCCTCCTCTCTCTCCTCTCCTTTCTCCTCTCCTCCCCTCTCTCCTCTCTCTCCTCTCTCTCCTCCTCCTCTCTCCTCTCCTCCTCTCTCCCCTCTCTCCTCTCCCTCTCTCCCCTCTCTCTCCTCTCTCTCCTCTCTCTCTCTCCTCTCTCCTCGTCCTCTCTCCTCTCCTCTTTCTCCTCTCTCTTCTCTCTCCTCTCCTCTCTCCTCTTTCTCCTCTCTCTCCTCGCTCCTCTCCTCTCTCCTCTTTCTTCTCTCTCCTCTCCTCTCTCCTCTTTCTCCTCTCTCTCCTCGCTCCTCTCCTCTCTCCTCTTTCTCCTCTCTCTCATCTCTCCTCTTTCTCCTTTCTCCTCACTGCTTTCTCTCCTCTCTCTCCTCTCCTCCTCTCTCCTCGCTCCTCTCCTCTCTCTCCTCGCTCCTCTCCTCTCTCCTCTTTCTCCTCTCTCTCCCCTCTCTCATCTCTCCTCTTTCTCCTTTCTCCTCACTGCTTTCTCTCCTCTCTCTCCCCTCTCTCCTCTCCTCCTCTCTCCTCTTTCTCCTTTCTCCTCTCTCTCCTCTCTCTCATCTCCCTCAGAGCCTCCTGTTCGCTTCCTCCGTCCCCGTAAGTCTGTGAGTAAAGTGGAGAAGGAGGTGGGCGACTGTGTGCTCCTGGAGTGTGAGGTGTCGCGTCCGAACGCAGACGTGGCGTGGAAGAGGAACGGCGAGGAGGTGGAGGAGACCAGGAACGTCTCCATCGTGGAGGAGGGAGTCACCCGGCAGCTGCTGATCCACGCCCTGAGGGAGGAGGAGGCGGGTCTCTACGTGTGCGACGCCAAGGATGACCTCATGGACTTCACCGTCACCATCAAAGGTATGTGTCTCTCTGGTCTCGCTCTGGTCTCGCTCTGGTCTCGCTCTGGTCTCTCACGGGTCTTGTTCTGGTCTCTCTCTCTCTGGTTCTCCCTGTCTTGTGCAGTCGATGTGCTGTGGTTCTACTTTCACAGGACCATACAGAGACCAGAGAGTGAGAACAAAGAGAGAGACCAGAAAGAGTTCAAAGAGAAACCAAAGAGAGAGACCAGAGAGAGACCAGAGAGAGACCAGAGAGAGACCAGAGAGAGACCAGAGAGAGAGACCAGAGAGAGACCAGAGAGAGACCAGAGAGAGACCAGAGAGAGAGACCAGAGAGAGACCAGAGAGAGACCAGAGAGAGACCAGAGAGAGACCAGAGAGAGACCAGAGAGAGAGACCAGAGAGAGAGACCAGAGAGAGACCAGAGAGAGACCAGAGAGAGACCAGAGAGAGAACCAGAGAGAGAGACCAGAGAGAGACCAGAGAGAGAGACCAGAGAGAGAGAGAACCAAAGAGAGAGACCAGAGAGAGACCAGAGAGAGAGACCAGAGAGAGACCAGAGAGAGACCAGAGAGAGACCAGAGAGAGACCAGAGAGAGACCAGAGAGAGACCAGAGAGAGACCAGAGAGAGAGACCAGAGAGAGACCAGAGAGAGACCAGAGAGAGACCAGAGAGAGAGACCAGAGAGAGACCAGAGAGAGACCCAGAGAGAGACCAGAGAGAGACCAGAGAGAGACCAGAGAGAGACCAGAAAGAGACCAGAGAGAGACCAGAGACGAGAGACCAGAGAGAGACCAGAGAGAGACCAGAGAGAGACCAGAGAGAGACCAGAGAGAGACCAGAGAGAGAGACCAGAGAGAGAGACCAGAGAGAGAGACCAGAGAGAGAGACCAGAGAGAGACCAGAGAGAGACCTGAAGAGAGAGACCAGAGAGAGACCAGAGAGAGAGACCAGAGAGAGAGACCAGAAAGAGACCAGAGAGAGACCAGAGAGAGACCAGAGAGAGACCAGAGAGAGACCAGAGAGAGACCAGAGAGAGACCTGAGAGAGAGACCAGAGAGAGACCAGAGAGAGAGACCAGAAAGAGACCAGAGAGAGACCTGAGAGATAGACCAGAGAGAGACCAGAGAGAGACCAGAGAAAGACCAGAGAGAGACCAGAGAGAGATAGACCATGTGGATTCAGGCTGCAGGTGGCCTCTAGTCCTCTGAACGACCCTCTCTTCCTGGTTCAGAGGCGGCGGTTAGGTTCGTGGGGAAACCCGAGTCCCGCTCAGAGAAGACCTTTGTCGTGGGCGATGACATCATCCTGGTGTGTGAGGTGTCCAGGCCCAATGCTGTGGTCACATGGTGCAGAGAGGGGCGCCCCCTGGAGGACAGTGGGAGGTACTGTGCCGAGGAGCAGGGGGTGTTCCGGTCTCTGCTGGTGATGTGTGCGACCAGAGAGGACCAGGGCGAGTACAGCTGCGAGGCGGGACACGACCACATGAGCTTCTGTGTCATTGTCAGAGGTACAGGCTCTACTCTACTCTTTTCTACCGTGTTCGACTCTGTTCTACTCTACTCTACTCTGATCTACTCTGATATAATCCGCTCCACTCCACTCCACTGCACTCTGTTCTACTCTACTCTACTATATTCTATCAGTTGAGGTAGGGAACGTGGAGCTTTGACTGTAGACACTGCTCCCTCTTCACCACAACAGTCCGACACAGCTCTGACTGCAGTCGCTGCTCCCTCTTCAGCTCTTTCTGATAAAGTTAGAAAGAGGTAAAGGTCATTTGTCTCCAGATCCTCCAGTTCAGATCGTGGGGAACTCTGGAGCTCCAGAACGCCACCTGCTGCTAAGCGGAGAGGACCTGGTGCTAGAGTGTGAGGTTTCCCACGGCAACGCTCCGGTGCGATGGTTGAAGGACGGGCACCAGCTGAGCGCAGACACCAGAGTGACCATCCAGAGCGTTGACGTGGTCCGCAAGTTTGTACTGACGAATCTGCAGCCACAGGACTCTGGGGAGTACATCTGTGACACTGGGGATGACCAGATGACCACCATCGTCCTGGTACAAGGTGAGGGAGTGACCATAGAGAGCTGAGAGACAAGGGACCTGAGAGACAGAGACCAGAACGAGACCAGAGACTGGGGCCCAGGGACCTGGGAGGAGACCAGGGATCGGAGAGAGGCCATAGAGACCAGAAAGAGACCAGAGAGAGACCACTCAGTTGTTGTTGTTGCAGAGCCTCCTCTCTCCTTCCTGAACAAACCTCCCTCCGCCTCCTCTCACTGTGCGCTGGAGGGCGACAATGTGAGCCTCTCCGCAGAGCTGACTCGTGAGTTGGAGAGCGCTCAGTCTGTGCGCTGGCTGAAGGACGATCTCATGCTGGTCTCTGGTGATAACGTCCACATCGGCAGCTTCGGAGCGGAGCAGCGGCTGACCCTGAGCTCTCTGCAGCTCACAGACTCTGGGGAGTATGTGTGCGACGTAGGAACCGACCGCATGGTCTTCAGGCTGACGGTCAAAGGTGAGGTTGAAGGACCAGAGAGAGAGACCAGAGAAAGAGCTACTAGTGAGACAGACCAGAGAGAGAGACCAGAGAGAGACCAAAGAGAGAGAGACCAGGGAGAGAGACCAGAGAGAGATAAGAAATAGACTAGAGAGAGTCCAGAGAGAGTACATATTAATGTCCTCAGAAACCTTGTGAGTGGTTTTCTTAGCAATAAACCACTCACAAACCCAGTGGGAAAATTCTGAGAAATACAGACTGTAGATCCAGGACTGAGGCTGTAGATCCAGGACTGAGGCTGTAGACCCAGGACTGAGGCTGTAGACCCAGGACTGAGGCTCTAGATCCAGGACTGAGGCTGTAGACCCAGGACTGAGGCTGTAGATCCAGGACTGAGGCTGTAGACCCAGGACTGAGGCTCTAGATCCAGGACTGAGGCTCTAGATCCAGGACTGAGGCTGTAGACCCAGGACTGAGGCTGTAGACCCAGGACTGAGGCTGTAGAACCAGGACTGAGGCTGTAGAACCAGGACTGAGGCTGTAGAACCAGGACTGAGGCTGTAGAACCAGGACTGAGGCTGTAGACCCAGGACTGAGGCTGTAGACCCAGGACTGAGGCTGTAGATCCAGGACTGAGGTTGTAGACCCAGGACTGAGGCTGTAGACCCAGGACTGAGGCTGTAGACCCAGGACTGAGGCTCTAGATCCAGGACTGAGGCTGTAGACCCAGGACTGAGGCTGTAGACCCAGGACTGAGGCTGTAGACCCAGGACAGAGGCTGTAGACCCAGGACTGAGGCTGTAGACCCAGGACTGAGGCTGTAGACCCAGGACTGAGCCTGTAGACCCAGGTTAGTGGTTAGCACTTTCGTTTCTCAGCAAAGTCTTGGGTTCGAATCCTGGTCGTAACAGGGCCTTTCTGGGTGGAGTTTGCATGTGCTCTCCGGTTTCCTCCGGTTTCCCCTTCCACTAAAAACATACACAATATGTAAATTATATGTAAATTAATGTAAATGAGAGAGTGACTGGATGGTGTTGGTTGGGGGCTTTGATGCTCCAGTGTGATCGGTGACTCACTTCCGTCATCACCGTGTGGCGTGATTGGAACTCTGCAAAGCGCTTTGGGTGACCTTGGGCTGTAAAATTCGCTATATAAATAAACATTACTTACTACTTACTAGACCCAGGACTGAGGCTGTAGATTAAAGACTTGTGTTGTGCTCCACAGAGACAAAGGTGAAGTTTGTGCGTCGGCTGCAGAGTACGGTGGCCCTGCGGGGACACAGCCTGGCGCTCCAGTGTGAAGTGAACAAAGCCTCAGGAGACGTGCAGTGGCTGAAGGACGGACAGGAGGTGGCGCTGTGCCGCAGGTTCATTATCCGCGCTGTGGGGACAGAGCGCAGTCTCACCGTCCACCAGGTCTCACAGCAGGACTCAGGAGAATACAGCTGCGCCTCCACGGACGACCGGACCACTGCGACCGTGACTGTAGAGGGTTAGTCTCTCTCTGGTCTCTCTCCGATCTCTCTCTCTGGTCTCTCTCTCTGGTTTCTCTCTCTGGTCCTTCTCTTTGGTCTGTCTCTGGTCTGTCGTTTTGGTCTTTCTTTCTGGTCTCTCTACGATCTCTCTCTCTGGTCTCTCTCTCTGGTCTCTCTCTCTGGTCTCTCTCTCTGGTCCTTCTCTCTGGTCTCTCTCTCTGGTCTCTCTTTGTTCTGTCTCTGGTCTGTCTCTTTGGTCTGTCTCTGGTCTGTTGTTTTGGTCTCTCTCTCTGATCTCTCTTTGGACCGTCTCTGGTCTGTCGTTTTGGTCTCTCTCTGGTCTCTCTTTCTGGTCTCTCTCTCTGATGTCTCTCTCTTGTCTCACTGTGGTCTCCCTCTAGTCTCTCTCTGGTCTCTCTCTCAGGTTTCTCAGATCTCTCTGGTTTCTCTCTCTGAGCTCTCTGGTTTCTCTCTCTGATCTCTCTGGTTTCTCTCTCTGATCTCTCTGGTTTCTCAGATCTCTCTGGTTTCTCAGATCTCTCTGGTTTCTCTCTCTCTGATATATTTGTCCTCTCTCTGCTCAGACCCTCGAGTGGTGGAGTTTGTTGCTGGTCTCAGGAGCGTCACTGTTAGAGAAGGAGAGGACGCAGTGTTTAAGTGTGTGGTGTCTCCGGAGGATGTGCAGCTGGTGTGGACCATGAAGGGAGCGCCCCCTACAGGTGGACGTGTGTCTGTGTCCTGCAACGGCACCTGCCACACGCTGCGCCTCAGTCAGTGCAGAGCGGGAGACGCAGGGACCGTAAGCGCCAACGCCGAGGGAGTCGTGTCTACGGCAGAACTGCAGGTCCAAGGTCAGAACCATGTGGGTGCTGGTCCAAGGTCAGAACCATATGGGTGCAGGTCTACGATCAGAACCATGTGGGTGCAGGTCCAAGGTCAGAACCATGTGGGTGCAGGTCTAAGGTCAGAGCCATGTGGGTGCAGGTCCAAGGTCAGAACCATGTGGGTGCATGTCCAAGGTCAGAACCATATGGGTGCAGGTCTAAAGTCAGAACCATGTGGGTTCAGGTCTAAGTTTCAGAACCATGTGGGTGCAGGTCTAAGGTCAGAACCATGTGGGTGCAGGTCCAAGGTCAGAACCATGTGGGTGCAGGTCCAAGGTCAGGACCATGTGGGTGCAGGTCCAAGGTCAGAACCATGTGGGTGCAGGTCCAAGGTCAGAACCATGTGGGTGCAGGTCTAAAGTCAAGACCATGTGGGTGCAGGTCCAAGGTCAGAACCATGTGGGTGCAGGTCCAAGGTCAGGACCATGTGGGTGCAGGTCCAAGGTCAGAACCATGTGGGTGCAGGTCCAAGGTCAGAACCATGTGGGTAAAGGTCTAAGGTTATAACCATGTGGGTGCAGGTCTAAGGTCAGAACCATGTGGGTAAAGGTCTAAGGTTATAACCATGTGGGTCAGGGGAAGAAGGCTCTAACACTACATACACACCAGGGACACTACTCTACATGGTCTCTCTGTAATCTCTCGCTGGTCTCTATCCCTGGTCTATCTCGCGTCCCTCTCTGGTCTCTCTCTGCTCTCTCTGGTTTCTCTCTGGTCTCACTCTGGCCCCTTACTTGTCTCCTTCTGGTCTCCCTCTGGTCACTCTGCTCCCTCTCTCTCTGGTCTCTATCTTGTCCCTCTCTTGTCTCCCTATTGTCTCTCTCTGGTCCCTCTCTGGTCCCTCTCTTGTCCCTCTCTGGTCTCCCTCTAGTCTCTCTCTGGTCCCTCTCTGGTCCCTTTCTGGCCCCTCTCTTGTCCCTATTTGGTCTCCCTCTGGTCTCTGTCTGGTCACATTCTGATCTGTCTGTCAGACTTTGTGCCTCAGCTCACCTGGTCTCCTCTGTGTCCTGGTCCCTCAGAGCCCCAGGTGGTCTTCACTCGTCAGATGGTCCCAGTCTCTGCAGAGGAGTATGAGGAGGCGGTGCTGGAGGTGGAGGTGGACCAGGAGCAGGGGGAGGTGCAGTGGATGAGGCAGGGGGTGCTGCTCCACGATGGCCCCAAGTACAGGCTCCTGAAGAGGGGCCGCGTCCACAGCCTCAGGGTCCTGGGTCTGGGTCTGGGGGACGCAGGGAGGTACAGCTGCGAGACCCTGCACGACCGGACCCAGGCCACTCTCACTGTCACACGTGAGTACTACAGAAAAACTACAAAATTACTACAATATTACTACATTACTATGACTACTAGGCCATACTCACTAGTACTAGTGTTGAAGACCAGAGAGAGACCAGAGAGAGACCAGAGAGAGACCAGAGAGAGACCAGAGAGAGACCAGAGAGAGACCAGAGAGAGACCAGGGAGAGACCAGAGAGAGAGAGACCAGAGAGAGAGACCAGAGAGAGACCAGAGAGAGACCAGAGAGAGAGAGACCAGAGAGAGACCAGAGAGAGACCAGAGAGAGAGAGACCAGAGAGAGAGACCAGAGAGAGACCAGAGAGAGACCAGGGAGAGACCAGAGAGAGACCAGAGAGAGACCAGAGAGAGAGAGACCAGAGAGAGAGACCAGAGAGAGACCAGAGAGAGAGAGACCAGAGAGAGACCAGAGAGAGACCAGAGAGAGAGAGACCAGAGAGAGACCAGAGAGAGAGACCAGAGAGAGACTGGAGAGAGACCAGAAAGAGAGACCAGAAAGAGAGACCAGAGAGAGACCAGAGAGAGACCAGAGAGAGACCAGAGAGAGACCAGAGAGAGACCAGACAGAGACCAGAGAGAGACCAGAGAGAGACCAGAGAGAGACCAGAGAGAGACCAGAGAGAGACCAGAGAGAGAGAGACCAGAGAGAGACCAGAGAGAGACCAGAGAGAGACCAGAGAGAGAGACCAGAGAGAGACCAGAGAGAGACTGGAGAGAGACCAGAGAGAGAGACCAGAGAGAGACCAGGGAGAGACCAGAGAGAGAGACCAGAGAGAGACCAGAGAGAGACTGGAGAGAGACCAGAGAGAGAGACCAGAGAGAGACCAGAGAGAGACCAGAGGGAGAGACCAGAGAGAGACCAGGGAGAGACCAGGGAGAGACCAGGGAGAGACCAGAGAGAGACCAGAGAGAGAGACCAGAGAGAGAGACCAGAGAGAGACTGGAGAGAGACCAGAGAGAGAGACCAGAGAGAAACCAGAGAGAGACCAGAGAGAGACCAGAGAGAGAGACCAGAGAGAGAGACCAGAGAGAGACCAGAGAGAGAGAACTGGAGAGAGACCAGAGAGACTGGAGAGAGAGACCGGAGAGAGACCAGAGAGAGACCAGAGAGAGAGACCAGAGAGAGAAACTGGAGAGAGACCAGAGAGAGAGACCACAGAGAGACCACAGAGAGACCAGAGAGAGAGACTGGAGAGAGAGACCAGAGAGAGACCAGAGAGAGACTGCAGAGAGAGACTGGAGAGAGAGACTGGAGAGAGAGACCAGAGAGAGACCAGAGAGAGAGACCAGAGAGAGAGACCAGAGAGAGAGACCAGAGAGAGACTGGAGAGAGAGACCAGAGAGAGAGACTGGAGAGGGACTGGAGAGAGACCAGAGAGAGACCAGAGAGAGAGACCAGAGAGAGACCAGAGAGAGACTGGAGAGAGACCAGAGAGAGACCAGAAAGAGACCAGAAAGAGACCGGAGAGAGACCAGAGAGAAACCAGAGAGAGACCAGAGAGAGAGACCAGAGAGAGACCAGATAGAGACCAGAAAGAGACTGGAGAGAGACCAGAGAGAGAGCAGAGAGAGAGACCAGAGAGAGACCAGAGAGAGAGACCAGAGACAGAGCAGAGAGAGAGACCAGAGAGAGAGCAGAGAGAGACCAGAAAGAGACTGGAGAGAGACCAGAGAGAGACCAGAGAGAGACCAGGGAGAGACCAAAGATAGACTGAGAGAGACCAGAGAGAGAGACTAGAGAGAGACTAGAGAGAGACCAGAGAGAGACCAGGGAGAGACCAAAGCTCTTAGATGCATGTACTGGCCTTGTCTCAGTACTATGACATGTTGAATAAACTGGATTAGAAAAGGTCAGACTTCACAGAGCGATGACACCAGATCCAGTTCAGATCAAAGACAATACAGAGTCAAAACACTGCTTTGATAAGTTAAGTCCTGGGTTTGAGATCTGGGGACTTTACCATCACACACACACACACACGCACACACACACACACGCACACACACACACACACACACAGCGGAAAAAAACATGTTTATTTTGGAGACTCGATGACAACTGCATGCCCCAACAGAGACCAGAGACTCCAGAGAGAAACTAGAAAAAGACACCAGAGAGACCAGAGACAGAGACCAGAGACAGAGACCAGACAGAGACCAGAGAGACCAGAGAGACCAGAGAGGCCAGAGACAGAGACCAGAGAGAGAGACCAGAGAGACCCTCAGACTATGGAGATGTTGAACAGCCCTGAACAGCCGCTCTTATTTCCCCACGTTTGATCTTGACCTCAGTGGAAGTATTGGTCATTCAAACATTTCCCATTGAAATGAATGAGTGCAGACTTGGATCTTCCTCTTCCTGTGTTCCTGGTCTTCAGCTCGTCAGATCTCCATCGTGAAGGGCCTGTGTGAGGTGCGCACCGTGGAAAGAGAAACGGCGTCCCTGGAGGTGGTCGTGTCGCACGAGGACCTGACGGGGACATGGTCCAAGAACGGGACTCCTCTGAAGAACAGCGCCCACTACAGGATCAGCTGCAACCAGCGCTCGCACAGCCTCACTATCGTCCAGCTCAGTGTGGAGGACACCGGGACGTTTACGTTCAGTGTGCAGGGACTGAAGACCTCAGGCCGCCTGGTGGTCCAAGGTACAGGCGTAACACAGGCGTAACACAAGCCTAACACAGGTGAAACGCATGTACAACACAGGTTTAACAGAGGTGCAATACAGGCATAACACTGGTGTAATGTGAGGTCTGTAACACAGGTGTAATGTGAGGTCTGTAACACAGGTGTGATGTGAGGTCTGTAACACAGGTGTAATGTGAGGTCTGTAACACAGGTGTGATGTGAGGTCTGTAACACAGGTGTAATGTGAGGTCTGTAACACAGGTGTGATGTGAGGTCTGTAACACAGGTGTAATGTGAGGCCTCTTAAACACAGGTGCAATGTGAGAACTCTTAAACACAAGTGTAATGTGAGGTCTGTGACACAGGTGTAATGTGAGGTCTCTTAAACACAGGTGTAATGTGAGGTCTGTGACACAGGTGTAATGTGAGAACTCTTAAACACAGGTGTAATGTGAGGTCTCTTAAACACAGGTATAATGTGAGGTCTGTGACACAGGTGTAATGTGAGAACTCTTAAACACAGGTGTAATGTGAGGTCTCATAAACACAGGTGTATTGTGAGGTCTGTGACACAAGTGTAATGTGAGAACTCTTAAACACAGGTGTAATGTGAGGTCTCATAAACACAGGTGTAATGTGAGGTCTGTGACACAAGTGTAATGTGAGAACTCTTAAACACAGGTGTAATGTGTTTCCAGAGCCTCCGGTGACGATCATCCGGAAGCTGGAGGATCAGAAGTTTCCTGAAGGAGCCGTGATTTCTATCGAGTGTGAACTGTCCAGACACAACGTGGACGTCAAGTGGATGAAGGTGAGACGCATTACTCTCCAAACACTATACAACACACAACTAGTGTGTGTGTGTCCTAATAACATTGTGTGTGTGTGTCCATGACACTATATGTTTGTTTTTATAACCTTGTGTGGCTCTCAAAAGTCCCAGAGATCTTCTCTTTGTGTGTGTATGTATGTCCCCATAACATCTGTTCGTATGTTTCTGTCTATGTGTTTGTGTGTCTCTGTGTGTGTGTCCATAACCTCTGTTTGTGTCTCTGTGTGTCCATAACTTTGGTATGCATGTCTGTGTGTGTTTTTGTGTATCTGTGTGTGTTTTGTACTAGGGATGTAAATCGGTGGCCGTTTAACCGGTGGTTGACCGTCACAGCGTTAACCGGTCAAAGCTGTCGGTAAAAAAAAACTAAAAAGGCGGAGGAGGGGGTCTCTTAATAACGCTATTTTAAGCCCTATTTGCGCGGTGTGACGACCGGGTCCGTCTCTTGCTGTATGCGGCAATGTATTAGCATCGGCATGGGAGTCGTGGGACAACTCTCATGCTGCACGCGCCACATATATACACACACACACACACTTCCCCCTCCATTGATACGTAACATCCAGACGCATGCCCTCTGTTACCGCCAAAGTTGCACACTGGTGCGGGTCAGAACTACATTGGAGCTTATATTTACACACACACACGCACACACACATACCGGTCTGTCGCGCTCGTCTGTGTCACGGAGCCCAAAGGATCCTCGCAAAAACGCGGCTCCAGTCAAACCACATGGACCATGTTTGTGTTCATGGTCCTTACCATCAGCTCCACACACACACCACTTGTATTTAAACTTTAGCAGAGACCAGCGAGACGCGTCACTCGCTGCTCTGACCATGTGGACGTCACTCGCTGCTCTGACCATATGGACGTCACTCGCTGCTCTGACCATGTGGACGATCAGTCTTTTGCTTAAAAATGCTTTAACCCGCAGCACAGCAGAATGGGAAGATTAAAACAGCAGTTCTCTGTGCATGTCCCCATAATGTCTATGTGTGTTGCAGAATGGAGTGGAGGTGAAACCCTCTAAGTCTCTGAGGATTTACTCTTTGGGCAGAAAGCGTTTCCTGCAGGTGACAAAGTGTGGACTCAGCGACTCTGGGGTGTATACATGTGACACAGGAGACAACAGCACCTCCTGCAGCGTGGAGGTCTACGGTACACACGCACACACACACACAGGAGACAACAGCACCTCCTGCAGCGTGGAGGTCTACAGTACACACACACACACACACACACACACACACACACACACACACACACGCACACGCACACGCACACGCACACACAGGAGACAACAAGAGGAGGTTTCTCATGTTGTATCTCCTCTTTCAGAGAGGGAGCTCCTGGTGCTGCAGGAGCTGGAGGACCAGGAGGTGGAGGAGGAGCAGAACGCTGTGTTCATGTGTGAACTGTCCGTGGAGGACGTCAGCGGAGAATGGTTCAAGAAAGGACTGAAGATACAACAGAGCAGCAGCATCAGGACCAGGCACGAGGGTGAGAGAGGGGAGAGAAGGGGAGAGAGACCAGGCACGAGGGGGAGAGAGGGACCAGGAAGGAGGGTGAGAGAGGGGGAGAAAAACTGACCAGGAGGGAAGGTGAGAGCAGGGGAGAGAGACCAGGAAGGAAGGTGAGAGAGGGGGAGAGAGACCAGGAGGGAAGGTGAGAGAGGGGGAGAGAGACCAGGAGGGAAGGTGAGAGAGGGGGGGGAGACCAGGAAGGAAGGTGAGAGAGGGGGAGAGAGACCAGTAAGGAAAGTGAGAGAGGGGGAGAGAGACCAGGCAGGAGGGGGAGAGAGGGGGAGAGAGATGGACCAGGCAAGAGGGTGAGAGAGGGGGAGGGGGGGAGGAGTTGGGGTGAGTCAGGTTGCGGGAGAGGGAGGAGTCTGTAGTTTAAAGTCTGCTCCTGTTCAGGGACAAAGCACTTCCTGCTCATGTGCAACGTTCGACCTGAAGATTCAGGAGAAATCAAGTTTGTGGCTCGAGACGTGGAGTCGACGGCTTTTCTGGATGTAGAAGGTACCAGGAAGACCAGAGACCAGGAAGACCAGGAAGACCAGAGACCAGGAAGACCAGAGACCAGGAAGACCAGAGACCGAAGACCAGAGACCAGGAAGACCAGAGAGAGACCAGGAAGACCAGAGAGAGACCAGGAAGACCAGAGAGAGAACAGAGACCAGAGCCACAACACAGACCAGAGTGAGACCAGAGCGAGAACAGAGACCAGAGCGAGACCAGATTGAGAACCGAGACCAGAGCAAGAACCAAGACCAGAGCGAGAACAGAGACCAGAGCGAGACCAGATTGAGAACCGAGACCAGAGCAAGAACCAAGACCAGAGCGAGAACCGAGACCAGAGCGAGAACCGAGACCAGAGCGAGAACCGAGACCAGAGCGAGAACCGAGACCAGAGCGAGAACCGAGACCAGAGCGAGAACCGAGACCAGAGCGAGAACCGAGACCAGAGCGAGAACCGAGACCAGAGTGAGAACCGAGACCAGAGACCAGAGCGAGAATAGAGACCAGAGTGAGAACCAAGACCAGAGCAAGAACCGAGACCAGAGACCAGAGCGAGACTAGAGAGCTAGAACAGAAACCAGAGAGAGAAAACAGAGAGACCTGAGTTATACTAGGATGTTTGAGTCTTTACAAACATGAAACAGCTGTGAGTGAGAAGGACACTGTCTCTCCTCAGGACATCACATTGATCTCTCCTTTCTCCTTGCTCTCTTCTCTTTTTTTCTCTCCTCTCTCACCTCCTCTCTCTCGTCCTCTCCTCTCTCTCCTCCGTTCTCTCCTCTCTCCTCTCCTCTCCTCTCCTCTCCTCTCTCCTCTCGTCTCACTCCTCCCTCCCCCCTCTCCCCTCAGAGCTCCCTGTCTCCATAGTGAAGCCTCTCCAGGACCAGGTGGCAGTAGAGAGGTCTCGTGTGCTCCTGGACTGTACGGTGTCCACTCCTCGGTGCTCGTGTCGATGGTATCGCGGTCTCAGCGTGATCCTTCCGTCTGACCGCTTCGAGATCTGCAGCGAGGGATGCAACCGCAAACTCATTATCCAGCAGGTGGCGCTGGAGGACGAGGGGGAGTACAGCGTCCAGGTGGGGGAGGACAGCTGCTCCGCCCGCCTCAGCGTGGAGGGTGAGGACCAGGGGGGGTCAGAGCTGGGGTCTCTGGTATCTCTCCAATCTCTCTGGCCTTTCTCTGGTCTCTCTGGTGTCTCTCTGGTCTCTCTGGTGTCTCTCTGGTGTTTCTCTGGTCTCTCTGGTGTCTCGCTGCTCTCTCTCTGGTCTCTCTGGTGTCTCGCTGCTCTCTCTCTGGTCTCTCTGGTGTCTCGCTGCTCTCTCTCTGGTGTTTCTCTCTCTGGTCTTTCTCTGGTGTGTCTCTCTCTGGTCCCTGGTCTCTCTGTGGTCTCTGGTGTCTCCCTGGTCTCTGTGGTCTCTCTTTGGTCTCTCTGGTCTCTCCCTGGTCTCGCTGATCTTTCCCTGGTCTCTGTAACCTCTGGTCTCTCTGTGGTCTCTCTCGGGCCTCTCCCTGATCTCTCCCTGGTCTCTCGGGTCTCTCCCTGGTCTCTCGGGTCTCTCCCTGGTCTCTCGGGCCTCTCCCTGATCTCTCCCTGGTCTCTCGGGTCTCTCCCTGGTCTCTCGGGCCTCTCCCTGATCTCTCCCTGGTCTCTCGGGTCTCTCCCTGGTCTCTCGGGTCTCTCCCTGGTCTCTGTAACCTCTGGTCTCTCTCCTCAGCTCAGTCCGTGACCCTGGTCCGTCACCTCTCTGACCTGTGTGTCCGGTCTTCAGAGGAGGCGTGTTTCGAGGTGGAGGTGTCGGCTCCTCTGACGGAGGCTCCGGTCTGGACTCTGGAGGGGGAGGTCCTGGAGCCGGGTCCCAGGGTCCTGGTGGAGAAGATGGGGACAGTGCACAGACTCACACTGAGAGGGTCCCAGGGGGAGGGAGGGGGGGTGGGCAGGGGTGAGGGAGGGGGGGAGGTGGTGTTTTGCTGCGGCGAGATGAGAAGCAGCGCCCGACTGAGCATCTGTGAGTGAGAGGCCTCCCTCTGGTCTCCCGCTGGTCTCCCTCTGGTCTCTCTCTGGTCTCTCTCTGGTCTCCCGCTGGTCTCTCTCTGGTCTCTCTCTGGTCTCTCTCTGGTCTCTCTCTGGTCTCTCTCTAGTCTTCCTCAGGTCTCTCTCTGGTCTCTTTCTGGTCTCTCTCTGGTCTCCCTCTGGTCTCTCTCTGGTCTCTCTCTCTGGTCTCTCTCCCTGGTCTCTCCCTGGTCTCTCCCTGGTCTCTCTCCCTGGTCTCTCTCTCTGGTCTCTCTCTAGTCTCTCTCTGGTCTCTCTCTGGTCTCTCTCTGGTCTCTCTCTGGTCTCTCCCTGGTCTCTCCCTGGTCTCTCTCTTGTCTCTCTCTGGTCTCTCTCTGGTCTCTCTCTGGTCTCTCTCTGGGCTCTCCCTGGTCTCTTTCTGGTCTCTCTCTGGTCTCTCCCTGGTCTCTCTCTGGTCTCACAGCAGGTCCTTGTTTACAACTCGACAGAATTAGGTCAGAATCTGAACCTGAGATTTATTTTCACAGCTGACCACGAGTGACTGTCTGCACCTCTTCAGCAGCGAGAGCCAGAGGGACTAACCAGAGACCTGAGACCAGAGACCAGACAGACCAGAGACCAGAGACACAGACCAGAGACCAGAGACCAGAGACACAGACCAGAGACCTGAGATGTAAAAACCAGAATCCAGAGACCAACTAGAGAGGAATAACGAGAGACCTGAGAGGACGAAGCCCACAGACCTAAGATCCAAGACCAGAGACCTAATCCCTAACAACAGCCAATAGAACTGAGACCTGAGACCTATGACCTCACAGGACTAACCAGAGACTTGAAACCCAATAGGACCCAAGAGCCAAAACTTAAGACCCAAGAAAGAAGAGCTGAGACTGAGACCACAAACAGCACCAAATCACAGAAGACAGTTTTATGGTTTTCTAATCATCAATTTACAACATGAACCTGGAGCTATTCTCAGACAGAAACCACATCCAGACAGTTCTCATTGTCTCTGGTCTCTTTCTGGTCTCTCTCACTGGTCTCTCTCTCTGGTCTCTCTCTGGTGTCTCACTGGTCTCTCTCTGGTGTCTCACTGGTCTCTCTCTGGTCTCTCTCTCTGGTCTCTCACTGGTCTCTCACTGGTCTCTCTCTCTGGTCTCTCTCTCTGGTCTCTCTCTGGTCTCTCTCTCTGGTCTCTCTCTGGTCTCTCTCTGGTCTCTCTCTGGTCTCTCTCTGGTCTCTCTCTCTGGTCCCTCTCTGGTCCCTCTCTGGTCTCTCTCTGGTCTCTCTCTGGTCTCTCTCTGGTCTCTCTCTGGTCTCTCTCTGGTCTCTCTCTGGTCTCTCTCTGGTCTCTCTCTGGTCTCTCTCACTGGTCTCCCTCTGGTCTCTCTGTGGTCTCTCTCTCTGGTCTCTCTCTGGTCTCTCTCTGGTCTCTCTCTCTGGTCTCCCTCTGGTCTCTCTCACTGGTCTCTCTCTGGTCTCTCTCTGGTCTCACTCAGGTCTCTCTCTGGTCTGTGATGTCACTGAATGAGTGTAAACGTGGACAGGGCCGAGTGCTGCAAGAAGAAGAATTCTGATTTAGTTTTAATTTATTTAGAAAATAAACGTAACGTGTTTTTAAAGTGTTGTTAGTTTATTTAAATGTAATTATTATGATCGTTATAAAGATGTATCTGTTCATGTGCGACTTTAAAGCTGAGGGACGTAACTTTAGTCTCATTGTATTTTCCTGCAGTGTTTTTCTGATTTTCTAATTTTCTTTTTGAAATGTTGTAAATAATTTTCTGAGTGAATGTGATTCTCTCTGTTTGAAATAAAACTTTATTCTCATGATTTACAAATCTGTGTTTCCAGGTCAGAGAGACCAGAGGGAGACCAGAGGGAGACCAGAGGGAGACCAGAGGGAGACCAGAGGGAGACCAGAGAGAGACCAGAGAGAGACCAGAGAGAGACCAGAGAGTGACCAGACAGAGACCAGAGAGAGACCAGAGAGAGACCAGAGAGAGACCAGAGAGAGACCAGAGAGAGACCAGAGAGAGACCAGAGGGAGACCAGAGGGAGACCAGAGAGAGACCAGAGAGAGACCAGAGAGTGACCAGACAGAGACCAGAGAGAGACCAGAGAGAGACCAGAGAGAGACCAGAGGGAGACCAGAGGGAGACCAGAGAGAGACCAGAGAGAGACCAGAGAGAGACCAGAGAGAGACCAGAGAGAGACCAGAGAGGGACCAGAGAGGGACCAGAGAGAGACCAGAGAGAGACGGGACCAGAGAGGGACCAGAGAGGGACCAGAGAGGGACCAGAGAGGGACCAGAGAGAGACCAGAGAGAGACCAGAGAGGGACCAGAGAGAGACCAGAGAGAGAGACCAGAGAGAGACCAGAGAGAGACCAGAGGGAGACCAGAGAGAGAGACCAGAGAGAGACCAGAGAAAGACCAGAGAAAGACCAGAGAGTGACCAGAGAAACCAGAGAGAGACCAGAGAAAGACCAGAGAGAGAGACCAGAGAGAAAGACCAGAGAGAGAGACCAGAGAGAGACCAGAGAGGGACCAGAGAGGGACCAGAGAGAGACCAGAGAGAGACCAGAGAGAGACCAGAGAAAGACCAGAGAAAGACCAGAGAAAGAGACCAGAGAGGGACCAGAGAGGGACCAGAGAGAGACCAGAGAGAGACCAGAGAGAGACCAGAGAGAGACCAGAGAGAGACCAGAGAAAGACCAGAGAGAGACCAGAGAAACCAGAGAGAGACCAGAGAAAGACCAGAGAAAGAGACCAGAGAGAGACCAGAGAGGGACCAGAGAGGGACCAGAGAGAGACCAGAGAGAGACCAGAGAGAGACCAGAGAAAGACCAGAGAGAGAGACCAGAGAGAGACCAGAGAGAGAGACCAGAGAGAGACCAGAGAGGGACCAGAGAGATACAAGAGAGAGACCAGAAAAAGACCAGAGAGAGACAAGAGAGAGACCAGAGAAAGACCAGAGAGACCAGAGAAAGACCAGAGAGAGAGACCAGAGAGGGACCAGAGAGAGACCAGAGAGAGACCAGAGAAAAACCAGAGAGAGACCAGAGAAAGAGACTAGAGCTACTATGATATGTATCGTAGGCTGCACCATTAGCTTTGTGTTGGTCACTGTATCAAGCCCCGGCGATCCAAGATGGCGCCCTATTCAAATGAATGGTTGTGCTCAGTGGCGCTTTGTGACGGCATGGGGGCTGAAAGATTAGCGGAAGTCGCCTGAAACTCTCAAAGATCTATGGGAAACAAGATCTATGGGAAACTCTCAAAGATCTATGGGAAACTCAAAGATCTATGAGAAACTCTCAAAGATCTATGGGAAACTCTCAAAGATCTATGGAAACTCTCAAAGATCTATGGGAAACTCTCAAAGGTCTATGGGAAACTCTCAAAGATCTATGGAAACTCTCTGTATTTGGGCATCGTCTGGTCCTCCCGGTTCTGTGCAGTGGATGATTTCCCATAGTGCATTGCGTCAAACACGCGTGTGTGGGTCTCACGCCGGGTCTCACGCACGTGCACAGAGGGTCTCACGCACGTGCACAGAGGGTCTCACGCACGTGCACAGAGGGGCTCAGCTCTGACCAATCAGAGCAGTTCATCAGAGCGGGAGTTAGAGCGAGAGCCAGAGGAGCAGAGTTTGTGGCACTAAAGTGTGGATTTAAACAAAACCGAAGGATTTAAGAAGAAAAAAAGTTCACAATGACAAGGGACACTAACATCCCCACAAAATCTGACCTTTATGAAAGCTGTAGGTTCTCTGTCAGGTTCTCTGTAGGTTCTCTGTCAGGTTCTCTGTAGGTTCTCTGTCAGGTTCTCTGTCAGGTTCTCTGTCAGGTTCTCTGTAGGTTCTCTGTCAGGTTCTCTGTCAGGTTCTCTGTCAGGTTCTCTGTCAGGTTCTCTGTAGGTTCTCTGTCAGGTTCTCTGTCAGGTTCTCTGTCAGGTTCTCTGTAGGTTCTCTGTCAGGTTCTCTGTCAGCTGAGGTTGAACTGTTTAATATGCATTGAGTTCTATGGGGAAAATTTCTGGGTAGCCCACGTGAATTTAGTCTGGTTCAGTCTGGTTCAGTCTGGTTCAGTCTGGTTCAGTCTGCAGTACCGCGAGAATCCCCCGAGCACATGAGTTATTCAGCTACAAGCTGTAATACCCTATCCAGTTATTACAGTATAATAGATCCATGGCTGCAGCATTAGCTCTGTGCTGTTTGCTGCAGCATTAGCTCTGTGCTGTTTGCTGCAGCATTAGCTCTGTGCTGTTAGCTGCAGCATTAGCTCTGTTCTGTTAGCTGCAGCATTAGCTCTGTTCTGTTAGCTGCAGCATTAGCTCTGTTCTGTTAGCTGCAGCATTAGCTCTGTGCTGTTTGCTGCAGCATTAGCTCTGTTCTGTTAGCTGCAGCATTAGCTCTGTGCTGTTTGCTGCAGCATTAGCTCTGTGCTGTTTGCTGCAGCATTAGCTCTGTGCTGTTTGCTGCAGCATTAGCTCTGTGCTGTTTGCTGCAGCATTAGCTCTGTGCTGTTTGCTGCAGCATTAGCTCTGTTCTGTTAGCTGCAGCATTAGCTCTGTGCTGTTTGCTGCAGCATTAGCTCTGTGCTGTTTGCTGCAGCATTAGCTCTGTGCTGTTAGCTGCAGCATTAGCTATGTGAGAGTTAAATTTTAATTTATTAAGGACAATGCAGCTGCATTTAAAAGATGGCCGCAATTTCCATCTGTAGTTAGCCAAAGCGTTAGCTTTGTAGGAGTTAGCCGTAGCATTAGCTCTGTGGGAGTTAGCCGTAGCATTAGCTCTGTGGGAGTTAGCCGTAGCATTAGCTCTGTGGGAGTTAGCCGTAGCATTAGCTCTTGAGTACAATAGAGTGGTCAGCACTAGATCATATACGGAATCGGGATGAAGCGGAAGTAAATATAATAAACTACCTATTTATGCCTAACCTTAACCATCTTACTCAGACCCACCTTAACCCTAACCTTAACCATCTTACTCAGACCACCTTAACCTTAACCTTAACCATCTTACTCAGACCACCTTAACCCTAACCTTAACCATCTTACTCAGACCACCTTAACCCTAACCTTAACCATCTTACTCAGACCACCTTAACCCTAACCTTAACCATCTTACTCAGACCACCTTAACCCTAACCTTAACCATCTTACTCAGACCACCTTAACCCTAACCTTAACCATCTTACTCAGACCACCTTAACCCTAACCTTAACCATCTTACTCAGACCACCTTAACCCTAACCTTAACCATCTTACTCAGACCACCTTAACCCTAACCTTAACCATCTTACTCAGACCACCTTAACCCTAACCTTAACCATCTTACTCAGACCACCTTAACCCTAACCTTAACCATCTTACTCAGACCACCTTTAACCATTTCGATGGTTAAAGTACATGATCTAGTGCCAGAGTAGAGTAGGATAGGCCCGCTTCAGTGTGAGTGTTACCCCTGAATTCCAGTCTATGCCCCTGAACACAGACACCTGGTCACATGACTGAGTGGAACTTTATTTAAAAACACAAAAATACACAAACAATATTTAAAACAGTATAAATAATGACGTTTCTCCATAAGAAACATATGGGGCTTTTCTTTGGCTTCACTTCAAACTGGATCTGTTTAGACCTGGTTCAGACCTGGTTTAGGCTTGGTTTGGACTTGGTTTAGACCTGGTTTAGACTTGGTTTAGACCTGGTTTAGACCTGGTTCAGATTTGGTTCAGACCTGCATGAATTAAAACATTCAAATATAAAAACGTCAGAACAGTTGCTTCGATAAACATATGTACAGTGTAGCATTAGCATTAGCATTATTTTCAGTTGTTTGTGTCTGAGTCATTGACGCAATAGCTCTATTGCATTATCTTTGTGGAGGTAGCTCTGTGTATTTAGCCGTAGCATTAGCTCTATGATATTGTGTGTTATCTCTGTTGTTGTTGGCTATGGGGTGTTAGCACTATGTTAGAGCTGTAGTGTTAGCTCGATGCTAGCTCGGTAAGCTACACGTCTGCTGCTTTAGCGCTGCGTACACCTCCTGCTCCAGACTCAGTTTCTCGAAGAACGGGATCAAGTCCAGGAGCTCTGTGTCCGAGACGTCGTCAAACCACGAGACCACGGGGACCTGCGGAGGGAGGACCGGGTTCACTCTGGTCTGGTCTGGTTCAGTCTGGTCTAGTCTGGTTCAGTCTGGTCTGGTCTGGTTCAGTCTGGTTCAGTCTGGTCTGGTCTGGTTCAGTCTGGTCTGGTTCAGTCTGGTCTAGTCTGGTTCAGTCTGGTCTAGTCTGGTTCAGTCTGGTCTAGTCTGGTTCAGTCTGGTCTAGTCTGGTTCAGTCTGGTCTAGTCTGGTTCAGTCTGGTCTAGTCTGGTTCAGTCTGGTCTGGTCTGGTCTGGTTCAGTCTGGTCTAGTCTGGTTCAGTCTGATAGAGTCAAGACCCGAAGATCCAAGATGTCCACCTATTCAAACCAAGCCCCGAAGATCCAAGATGGCCCCAAATGAATGGCTTGTGTTTAGTGGCGCATGTCCCGACATCGGCGCCGAAAGATGGGTAGAACTCGCCCATATTTGGGCATTCTCCGGTCCTGCCGGTTCTGTGCAGTGGACCAGCTCACACTTATCTTTGCGCCAAATACGCGTGTGTGGCTCTCATGCACGTGCACAGAGGGGCTTAACCCTGACCAATCAGAACTGCTGATCAGAGCCCTGACCAATCAGAACTGCTGATCAGAGCTCTGACCAATCAGAACTGCTGATCAGAGCTCTGACCAATCAGAGCAGTTCATCAGAGCGGGAGTTAGAGCGAGAGCCAGACGAGCAGAGTTTGTGGCACTAAAGTGTGGATTTAAACAAAACCGAAGGATTTAAGAAGAAAAAAAGTTCAGGACGACAAGGGACACTAAAATCCCCACAAAATCTGATCTTTATGAAAGCTGTAGGTTCTCTGTCAGGTTCTCTGTCAGGTTCTCTGTCAGGTTCTCTGTCAGGTTCTCTGTAGGTTCTCTGTAGGTTCTCTGTAGGTTCTCTGTCAGGTTCTCTGTCAGACGAGGTCGAGCTGTTTTAGTTTACATTGTGTTTTATGGGGAAAATGAATTTAGTCTGGTTTGGTCCGAACCTGCCCATAATTGGTCATGCCTCTGGTACTCTTGGTTCTGTGCAGTGCTCCCATGATGCTTTGCGCCAAATATGCGTGTGTGGCTCTCATGGATGTGCACAGAGGGTCTGGCCTCAGTCCTGGTCTCTGGTGTCAGTCCTCAGTCCTCAGTCCTGGTCCTGGTCTCTGGTGTCAGTCCTGGTCCTGGACTCACAGCGTTGTGGGGGTGGAAGGCGTAGGAGAAGGGGGAGTTGTCGATGATGATGACCCGCCTCAGGTCTCGGCCCAAACGGCTCAGGTCCTTCACATAGTTCCCTCTGTGGAAAACACAGGCCTCTCTGAAGAGACGGGACCTGAAGGCTCCCGAGGAGTCCAGCAGGTCTGAGACCGGGTCTGCATACTGAGGGGGGAGTGAGGAGAGGGGAGAGAGAGACATCAGATCAGTGACTGAGGAAACCCATTGGTGACATGTGTGTAGTTCCTGCAGACACCAG